TGTGTCATTTGTGAGTGTTGTATCTTTGAGTATGTGTTTTCTGTAGTTTTTAGTATTTATGACCTGATCCTGTATGGCAATCATGAATCCTTCCGTCTCCCCAAAGAGGCATCCCCGATCTAACCAGCTGTTTGACGCAGTTTTGTCAACAAAATCCTGGGCCAGGTCATAAGGATGCCTGCCATGGAGTGCCTTTCGAGCCCACGATTGCTTGATGGTGTCTATGCTTTTTATGTGTTGTGTCATGTCTGTATGATGTGAGTGTAAGTTTAATGGTGTGTTATTTGAGTCTGCTAGAGTTACTGCTTTATGTAACTGTGATGTTTCTTGTTTCTTGTAGAAAAACTCTCGCAGTGACTGTATTTGTTTGTAGTGAAGGTTAACTATGTCAATCAGGCCACGTCCGCCTTCTTTACGTGGAAGGGTTAATCTTTCTGTGGCGGATTTAGGATGATGTTGTTTATGCTTAGTAAGTGTTGTTCTTGTTTTCCTTTGGAGTTGCTCGAGATCTGTGTGAGTCCAATGTATAACTCCAAAAGAGTATGTGAGTACTGGGATGACATATGTGTTTATTGCTTTAACTGTGTGTTTTGCATTTAACTGTGTTCTGAGTATAGCGTTTAACCTACTTTGGTATTCTTTAATTAATCTTTGCTTTATTTGTGTATGTTCTGTTAGTTTGGCCTGTTGGAATCCTAAATACTTGTAGAACTCGCCCTCTTCCATGGATTCAATAACGTCTCCATTTCCAAGTGCAAAATCTTCTTTCTTCAGGATTCCTTTTTCTATGTGAAGTTTTTTGCATTTGTCTAGGCCAAACTCCATTTGTATGTCCTTAGTGTATGAATGTGTGATTTGTAGGAGTTGATGAAGTTGTTTTTGTGTGGATGCATAAAGTTTTATGTCGTCCATGTACATGAGATGTGACAGTGTAAACTGTGTTGTTTTTTCATGTCTGATATTGTAGCCATAATGCGTGTTGTTTAACATGTTGGATAATGGATTCAGGGCTAGGCAGAACCAGAGAGGACTCAAGGAATCTCCTTGAAAAATTCCTCGCCTAATGAATATTTCGTTTGTTTGTATGGAAGTGTTACTAACCCTGAGATGTAGTGTTGTTCTCCAGTGCTGCATAGTGTTTTCGAAGAATGCAATGAGTGATGGATGTATTTTGTACATGTGTAGAATATGTAGCAGCCAACTGTGTGGAACACTGTCGAATGCTTTTCTGTAGTCTATATATGCCATGTGTATGTTTCTGTGTTGTTTGTGTGCTTGCCGTAGAATGACTGAATCTATGAGTAACTGTTCTTTGCATCCCCTGTGATTTCTACGGCAACCTTTTTGTTGTTCTGTAAGAATGTCGTGTTCTTCAACATGTTTGTATATTTTGTTTGTGATACAGGATGTCAATAATTTGTAGAGTGTTGGAAGACATGTAATTGGTCTGTATTGTGTGGGGTCTGTGGTTTTGTTGTTTTTAGGTTTCATGTAGGTGATGCCCTGAGTAAGAAATTTTGGCATGTCTTGTGGATTGATGATGATGTGTGTTAGATGTTTAGCTAGTTCCTGGTGCAGTGATGTAAACTTTTTGTACCAGAAATTGTGAATGTTGTCTACACCAGGTGTCTTCCAGTTGTGTGTTCTGTTAACAGCGTAGCGAATGTCGTGTATGTTTATTTCAGCACAGGGCATACTTGGTATGTTATGCAAGTTTCTGTTCTCCTCCTTGATCCAGCCTGCATCAGCATTGTGTGTAACAGCATTGGACCAAAGAGATGACCAATAAGTTGTGAGTTCTTCTTCTGTTGGTGTGCCACTGTGCTGTGTATCAGTGTTTGTTTTAGTACTGATTTGTCTGTAGAAAAGTTTTTCATTGTTTGCGAATAATTTATTTTGTTTATTATTATTTGTTTATTATTATTATTATTATTATTATTAGAAACAGTATTCATATTAATTTCTACATAATAATTTAGAAGTTGTTCCAAAGATGAAAGAGCTATGTTGAGTTCTAAAGTGGAACAATTCAAATATTCTGTGATTCAGTATTTATACATTTAATAAAATTAAAAATTATAATTAAAAGACATTTTAGTAAATGAATTTTTTCCATTTATGATATAACATTGCATAAAACTGGAAGAAAAGAATAGGCATGGAATTATTGGTATGTGGAACTTAATAGAATCTAGACAGAACACTTGTTTAGACTTGGAAAGGTTAAAGAGAAGATATGAGCAATGCAGGAGTCCCAAAGAAAAACTGAATTGTTGTTAATATACTTGCAGTATTCACATGCTGAAAGCTTGTTGCCCTCTAGTGAACATGAGAATGGCAATAAAACTATATCGAGCTAAATCTAGTCTTCCTTGGACAGGCTAAATTCACTTGCAAGTCTGGATCAATCTATCAGTGGTTCTGAAAAATAATTCTGAAGGGGGGCATTGTATTTTTTATCCTGATCATTCTACAAATGAAAATTAAGGACAAAAGCAAATATTAAAAGCTCTAGTTTCAAATGACATTATTGTGTGAAAATTTAACAAAATTGGCGAGAATATTTCAGTCACATTCATAAAGAGAAAACCAAGATGAAAAACCGTTCTTATCACAGTAGACGTAAAGAGTTTGAAAATTCTTTTGGATGAATGTTTTCACTTAATAAATAAATTTGTACTTAAAAGAAGTTGATTTTTTACTTGTTAATAAAGTCATGTTTATAAATTTAAACGTCTAATGGAAAAGAATTTTATATGTAAATAAATTTTAAAATTTTACAGTTGAAGACAAACACAAATAAAACTCCTTGCATGCCTTCTCACGTACAGGAATATAATTAAACATTAGTTTTTCCATTATAGGCTCTTCTCTACTTCCAAATATGTAAAAATTGCTTCTATAGTCATTCTACTATTAAGTTCTTGCAAAAAATTTTTCTAAAAAATTAAATCCTACAATGTAAGGTTGACTCTACTAATGCTTTGTGTTCCTGTAGCTGTGAAGAATATGTAAGAGTACAAATTTTATTTGTGTTTGTATTCATTTGCAATATTACTTTCCCAGCATTATATATAACAGAAGGTATGGCAATTGATCAAAAATGACCTCTCCCCAAGATTTTTAATTTTTGGATTTGGAGAACCTTAAAACATCAAGAAATGCAAAAAAGTTTGGGTGTTTTCCCATATGTATGGATGTGTATGTGTGTGTGTATGTGGTGCATGATTTTGTTCACTCACTTTTCCAGATGTATTTAAATTTAGATATAATCTTACATGGTTATAATGATGGCACTAGCTGGAAGCGAAGGCTTGCTTGGAGTTCGAGTGGCGCAACTGGCAAGCACACCGCATGGCAAGTGGAGTTTGCTGGTTCAAGCCTTGTCCTGAGCCAGTTATTTTCTTTTAGATGACTCTAAAATTATTTAATAAATTATTAAAATTATAATTATTAATTTAGATCAGAGATGGTACCTAATAAATTACCTCTAGTAACAAATTACTTAGTATTTAATCATTAAATAGCAGATTTATAGCCTGATTATTTAAAGCAATCGTTTGGTTATTTACATATACTTTATATCGGGCTTTGGATGTTAATATACTTAAATATATTTTGCCTTGGTTTTTAACTTTTAAAATAAATAAATTATCAATATTACTTCAGTATTTCAGTTTTATTATTTAGAAGTTTCATCAAGCATTTTGAAAACATTATTGACTTATATTCAATGATATATTCATATTGTTAAAATTATGAATTATTTTAAAAATTGTTATATCATTTATTCGAGAAACTTATTTTAAATATGAAAAATTAAGAGGAAACTTTATATTCTTAACGTTTTTAAAAAGTCATTACATTTTATGATAATACAATAAACCGAGCATGAAATTACTTTGCATCTGCACACTTAATTAGCTAAGTTATGGCCAGATAAATCTGGTATTATTATTTGAGCCATTATATTTTCATCATTTCTATGTTAAATTTTCAGTTCAAAAATTTTTTCACTGAGAAATTTGATACGAAAATTGACAAGCATCTTTCTTTATGTGAATATAAATATACAATTTAAATACAAATTCTGTTCATGTATCAATGAATTGACATTTGTACAGTAAAAGAGAAATTAACTATTCTTTACAAATCAAACATATTAATGTATCTTTATTAATATTTAAATAAATGATTGATTTAATTTTGCCATATGTCGAAACATCTGTTAAGTGGAACTGACTCAAATTTGTCTATGCATGTTCCAAACACAATACACATTTTCAGTTGTGCATGTATTAATCAGATGTTGTTACATATCACTGACAAATCAATTACTTGCCATATTTGTAATTATATCAATTTATTTCATAATTATCAGTGGCGATGATAATCTAAATGTGCAATTTCACTTGAATTGCAAGAAAGAAATGCTGCAAGGAAAAAGAATTTTCCTTATTTTTCATGCAAAAAAAAATTCCTTAAGAATTCAAGACTTTCTAAGTCAGTAGACACTCTGCACACACATTAAAGAGAAATTTATTATCAATTCATGAGTCGACTGTTGAAATCTGTAACATTAAATCAACCAAAACCTGATTTCAAAATGATAACATCAAAGTTTAGATTATAATGAAATTAAAACAAATACAAAGTTGCAAATAGTTAAGATTTATCTTTAATTTCAGGAAGTACTTTTATCTGAAATTACATGGCAGTTCTTCAGGCATAATAGATGATATAGTTTTTCCATTCATACTGTAAAAGTTTAAGTAATTTTATACATAAACACTTGGCTTAAGTCAAAGATAAATCTTAAATTTTTGTAACTTTATTTTATTATAATTTATGTTCTTCAACATTCTAACAGCAAGTCATTTACCAAAGTTCAGACTGTGCAGCATGCTGATCAGTCTAATAATTTATAAACATATAAAATCCTATATAAAAATAATTTATAAATAGGNATGAATTTTTTCCATTTATGATATAACATTGCATAAAACTGGAAGAAAAGAATAGGCATGGAATTATTGGTATGTGGAACTTAATAGAATCTAGACAGAACACTTGTTTAGACTTGGAAAGGTTAAAGAGAAGATATGAGCAATGCAGGAGTCCCAAAGAAAAACTGAATTGTTGTTAATATACTTGCAGTATTCACATGCTGAAAGCTTGTTGCCCTCTAGTGAACATGAGAATGGCAATAAAACTATATCGAGCTAAATCTAGTCTTCCTTGGACAGGCTAAATTCACTTGCAAGTCTGGATCAATCTATCAGTGGTTCTGAAAAATAATTCTGAAGGGGGGCATTGTATTTTTTATCCTGATCATTCTACAAATGAAAATTAAGGACAAAAGCAAATATTAAAAGCTCTAGTTTCAAATGACATTATTGTGTGAAAATTTAACAAAATTGGCGAGAATATTTCAGTCACATTCATAAAGAGAAAACCAAGATGAAAAACCGTTCTTATCACAGTAGACGTAAAGAGTTTGAAAATTCTTTTGGATGAATGTTTTCACTTAATAAATAAATTTGTACTTAAAAGAAGTTGATTTTTTACTTGTTAATAAAGTCATGTTTATAAATTTAAACGTCTAATGGAAAAGAATTTTATATGTAAATAAATTTTAAAATTTTACAGTTGAAGACAAACACAAATAAAACTCCTTGCATGCCTTCTCACGTACAGGAATATAATTAAACATTAGTTTTTCCATTATAGGCTCTTCTCTACTTCCAAATATGTAAAAATTGCTTCTATAGTCATTCTACTATTAAGTTCTTGCAAAAAATTTTTCTAAAAAATTAAATCCTACAATGTAAGGTTGACTCTACTAATGCTTTGTGTTCCTGTAGCTGTGAAGAATATGTAAGAGTACAAATTTTATTTGTGTTTGTATTCATTTGCAATATTACTTTCCCAGCATTATATATAACAGAAGGTATGGCAATTGATCAAAAATGACCTCTCCCCAAGATTTTTAATTTTTGGATTTGGAGAACCTTAAAACATCAAGAAATGCAAAAAAGTTTGGGTGTTTTCCCATATGTATGGATGTGTATGTGTGTGTGTATGTGGTGCATGATTTTGTTCACTCACTTTTCCAGATGTATTTAAATTTAGATATAATCTTACATGGTTATAATGATGGCACTAGCTGGAAGCGAAGGCTTGCTTGGAGTTCGAGTGGCGCAACTGGCAAGCACACCGCATGGCAAGTGGAGTTTGCTGGTTCAAGCCTTGTCCTGAGCCAGTTATTTTCTTTTAGATGACTCTAAAATTATTTAATAAATTATTAAAATTATAATTATTAATTTAGATCAGAGATGGTACCTAATAAATTACCTCTAGTAACAAATTACTTAGTATTTAATCATTAAATAGCAGATTTATAGCCTGATTATTTAAAGCAATCGTTTGGTTATTTACATATACTTTATATCGGGCTTTGGATGTTAATATACTTAAATATATTTTGCCTTGGTTTTTAACTTTTAAAATAAATAAATTATCAATATTACTTCAGTATTTCAGTTTTATTATTTAGAAGTTTCATCAAGCATTTTGAAAACATTATTGACTTATATTCAATGATATATTCATATTGTTAAAATTATGAATTATTTTAAAAATTGTTATATCATTTATTCGAGAAACTTATTTTAAATATGAAAAATTAAGAGGAAACTTTATATTCTTAACGTTTTTAAAAAGTCATTACATTTTATGATAATACAATAAACCGAGCATGAAATTACTTTGCATCTGCACACTTAATTAGCTAAGTTATGGCCAGATAAATCTGGTATTATTATTTGAGCCATTATATTTTCATCATTTCTATGTTAAATTTTCAGTTCAAAAATTTTTTCACTGAGAAATTTGATACGAAAATTGACAAGCATCTTTCTTTATGTGAATATAAATATACAATTTAAATACAAATTCTGTTCATGTATCAATGAATTGACATTTGTACAGTAAAAGAGAAATTAACTATTCTTTACAAATCAAACATATTAATGTATCTTTATTAATATTTAAATAAATGATTGATTTAATTTTGCCATATGTCGAAACATCTGTTAAGTGGAACTGACTCAAATTTGTCTATGCATGTTCCAAACACAATACACATTTTCAGTTGTGCATGTATTAATCAGATGTTGTTACATATCACTGACAAATCAATTACTTGCCATATTTGTAATTATATCAATTTATTTCATAATTATCAGTGGCGATGATAATCTAAATGTGCAATTTCACTTGAATTGCAAGAAAGAAATGCTGCAAGGAAAAAGAATTTTCCTTATTTTTCATGCAAAAAAAAATTCCTTAAGAATTCAAGACTTTCTAAGTCAGTAGACACTCTGCACACACATTAAAGAGAAATTTATTATCAATTCATGAGTCGACTGTTGAAATCTGTAACATTAAATCAACCAAAACCTGATTTCAAAATGATAACATCAAAGTTTAGATTATAATGAAATTAAAACAAATACAAAGTTGCAAATAGTTAAGATTTATCTTTAATTTCAGGAAGTACTTTTATCTGAAATTACATGGCAGTTCTTCAGGCATAATAGATGATATAGTTTTTCCATTCATACTGTAAAAGTTTAAGTAATTTTATACATAAACACTTGGCTTAAGTCAAAGATAAATCTTAAATTTTTGTAACTTTATTTTATTATAATTTATGTTCTTCAACATTCTAACAGCAAGTCATTTACCAAAGTTCAGACTGTGCAGCATGCTGATCAGTCTAATAATTTATAAACATATAAAATCCTATATAAAAATAATTTATAAATAGGAACATAATGATATTTATAATACAGTATAGCATCAAAAACTCGGCACTCCGGACAGACATCAGAGAGGTTGCGGCTGGCATTTTCAACGCAAAAACGTGTACGTCGGACGTTCAGCGCCACTTTCCTGTGAGCCTAGAAGTTTGACAATGGTGTTTGGAACGTCAGTAGAATCATGCTCAACGTTCTAAACGCCATTGTCAAACTTCTAGGCTCACAGGAAGGCGGCACTGAACATCCAACGTACATTTTCAACACGTTTTCGTGTTGAAAATGTCAGCCACAACCCCTCTATTATGTGTTTTTAACCCGTAGACTGGAAGATTTCTAGTTCGTTTTCGATATTGTAATACTTCTTTTGCTCTCTAGTATTCTTGATTTGTCTACTTCGACTGCTTTAAAAGAAACATCATAGCCCAATAATTCGGCAGTTCGTTTGTCTTTAATAATCAGGTTTATGAAGAAAAATTTCATACTTGCAGACTATATATCCTTGCCCAATTTGCACGACCTGGCATTACGCAGTATTGAAGATACTGGGCATGGTTAAAAATTAAGACAGCGTAAACACAATTATTCCAGATATTACAGGTTCTGAAAGGTAAAGAATTTTTAGAGTCCTGTCAAAAGTAAGCTAAATATTGATTATTGACAACCTGTGACATGCCATAATAAACAAAAATGTAAAAAAACTAATAAGCAGTAATTGTAATATTATTGTTAATTGTCTACTTGGACATTATTTATTAATAGGACTTAATACTGGTGTTTAAAGATTGACACAGCAATGAGAGTTAGTTCAGGAAAGAGCAAAATTTCTTTATTATATCACCTGTAGTAATAGTTTCTGTACACATATTACACGTGTTTCGGGCTAGCATGCCCCTCATCAGCAGTACTACTACCACACACTAAAAAGTAACAATAATAAACAAGATAAGTTATTGTATAAGTTAAAATTTTTTACATAGCCATAAAAATAATTTTAAAAACTTACTGTAAATACATATTCCAAACCCGAGTATAAATGTATTTTTCTCGTTGTATAATTAATTAATGAGTTAAACATTTCACTGTATAAATAAATTAAAATATAATAAATAAAGGTTGTAAATTATTAAAAACTAAAAACATTACATAGGAAACCAAAAGAACTCACATCAAGGTTCAAATTTTCGCAATTCAACAGTATTATGGTAGAGAGGCTTAACTATGCTTTTTTATAAACGTCATCTAGTATGGTGCTCCAGGATTGGTGGATTATACGACCCAAATTATTGTTTATTTTATTTCTTTCTTTCTTTATGTTTAAATGTTCGTATAATTGACGTTTGTAATTATTTGATTCTTTTTTCTTTATTTTTATAGTATCTTTGTTGATTTGGCACCCATAACTATTGCAGTGTTCTGCTACTGCAGAATTTGCATAATTACCCCTTATTGCACGTATGTGCTCTTTTATTCTTGTGCCTAATTTTCTTTTTGTTTCACCTATATAAGTTTTAACCGGATCACAACTGCAATTGAATGAATACACAATTTCTTTTTCTTCCATTAAATCCAATTTTTTATCTACCCTATTATATAAATATCTTTTAAATAAATTATTTTTTTCGGGTATTAAATTCACTTTTTCATTTAGTACATTTTTAACTCTTTCAAACAGTTTAGGTACATACATCATTTTTACACATTTTTTATCTTTTTTAAATTTTTTATTTTTATTGTCATTATTATTAGTCCAGTTTAACCATTTTTCTAATATTTTTTTGGGGTAACTATTCAGTAAGAACATTTTTATTACATGTTCTATTTCCATCTCTTGATTTTCTAATTTACTAGTTCTGTTTTTAATTTTTTCTATGTACATTTTGAAGATGTTAAATTTCATAGCTTGTGGAACGTTGGTTTTATAATTTAGTACCTTTGGTATTTGCATAGGTTTTATAAATTTTCTGAATTCTAATTTGTTGTCAGTTCTATTAATGGTTATGTCTAAATAATTTAAACTATTATTACATTCTGTTTCGGCTTCAAACTGTATGTTTGTTTCTATTGAATTTGCCTGTTTTAAAATTTTTTCTTCGTTAGTCTTTCTACTATCAAATAAAATAATGCAATCATCCACATATCTATTATAAAATATTATTCCTTTTATATCTGTAATTTTTTTATCTATGTCTATCATAAAGATTTCGGCAAGTCTTGGGCCTATGCACGTTCCCATTGGTATTCCTTCAGTTTGACTATAAAAGTTATCACCATACTTGAAATGATTGTTATCCAGTACTAACAAACAATTTAATAATCCAGATAGGTGCATTAATTTTCTGTAAAGATTTTTCAATGTTACTTTTTGTTATACTAGGATACATATTTTTTATATCTAAAGATAGACTAACTAATAAGCAGGCTTAAAATAATAAATACGAATGTATTCTGAAAGTTTATGAGTTAATTATACTTTCTATTTGCAAAATTTCCTCAACCTTAAGACAAAATAAGAAAAAAATGAACTTTTAAGAAATTTGCGGGATTTCCTGTTTGAGAAAGCTTACTCTCCACCTCAAATTAGTAGTGGCTTGCCCCTGTACATCATACTTTTTCTTTAACAATAGTGTTGTATACTGGTCATCTATTAAATGCTTTCAGGGGAAAAGTTTTGAATTGAAATAACATGACTTCTGGTTTACATAAGAAGTTTGTATATAGTTAATCCTTTCCCTAAGCTTTCTGTATCCGGTCTCAATTTCCATCTAGCTAACTCCTTTCTCAAGATTAAGGAAGGACAGATTGATGAACAGATGACTGGGAATTTATACGTCTACAGCTTTTTCAAATTGCAGCCCAATTATATTTATATATGAAACTTAAATAAAGCTGATTAAATATTCAAATAGTCTTTCTGTATATTTTATATTATTCATTTTGAAATAAACTGATGTCTTCTACTACAGACTTCTTTAAATGTTTAGAATATTTTAAATTTTTAATTTATAATAAATAAATTATACTTATGAATTCTGTAATATGCTTCTTGTCTAGTCTTGTATTCAATTTATGAGCTCTATGATGGCTTTATGTATCATACCGTCATATCTAATGTAAGTTCACAACTTTTACATCTATGTTATATATATTATTCCTGTAAATCATTAACATTCTATTGTTATAGCAAATACCTGTAAATTAATAATTGTCATCCTTATTTTATCAATTGTCACCATTCTGTGCTTCTCATAACCATGTAAGTTAAAAAATTTTTCAAATTTTGTAACACTGCAAAAATTTTATGTTAACTTGTATGAATTATTTTCTAAACAGTTACATCATAAAGAGTTGATAACAGACTCAAAGTCCGAAATGCATAAACTAGGAATAAAAATGTGATTTTCTAAAGCTTGTCCTGTTTCTAAATGATGGTGTAAGTCTAGTGGAAAAGAAAAGCCATCATAGAGCTCATAAATTGGATTAAATTATACCTACTTTCACTTTCTTAAGCTTTTCACAATAAATTCTTCTGTTTGCTCTGTAAAAACAATTAGTCTGACATTCAGTCAAGTTTAGAATATGACTGTTATCCTCCTCATTCAAATTCTTGGAACTGAAAAAAAATATTAATAATTCTGAAATTATAATAATCCATTCATTCATTAGTTAATATATAATAATAATAATAATAATAATAAACAACAAAACCACAGACCCCACACAATACAGACCAATTATATGTCTTCCAACACTCTACAAATTATTGACATCCTGTATCACAAACAAAATATACAAACGTGTTGAAGAACACGACATTCTTACAGAACAACAAAAAGGTTGCCGTAGAAATCACAGGGGATGCAAAGAACAGTTACTCATAGATTCAGTCATTCTACGGCAAGCACACAAACAACACAGAAACATACACATGGCATATATAGACTACAGAAAAGCATTCGACAGTGTTCCACACAGTTGGCTGCTACATATTCTACACATGTACAAAATACATCCATCACTCATTGCATTCTTCGAAAACACTATGCAGCACTGGAGAACAACACTACATCTCAGGGTTAGTAACACTTCCATACAAACAAACGAAATATTCATTAGGCGAGGAATTTTTCAAGGAGATTCCTTGAGTCCTCTCTGGTTCTGCCTAGCCCTGAATCCATTATCCAACATGTTAAACAACACGCAATACGGCTACAATATCAGACACGAAAAAACAACACAGTTTACACTCTCACATCTCATGTACATGGACGACATAAAACTTTATGCATCCACACAAAAACAACTTCATCAACTCCTACAAATCACACATTCATACACTAAGGACATACAAATGGAGTTTGGCTTAGACAAATGCAAAAAACTTCACATAGAAAAAGGAATCCTGAAGAAAGAAGATTTTGCACTTGGAAATGGAAACATTATTGAATCCATGGAAGAGGATGAATTCTACAAGTATTTAGGATTCCAACAGGCCAAACTAACAGAACATACACAAATAAAGCAAAGATTAATTAATGAATACCAAAGTAGGTTAAATGCTATCTTCAGAACACAGTTAAATGCAAAACACACAGTTAAAGCAATAAACACATATGTCGTCCCAGTACTCACATACTCTTTTGGCATTATACATTGGACTCACACAGATCTTGAGCAACTCCAAAGGAAAACAAGAACAACACTTACTAAGCATAGTAACATATCCATAAGTAACATCATCCTAAATCCTCTATAGAAAGATTAACCCTTCCACGTAAAGATGGCGGACGTGGCCTGATTGACATAGTTAACCTTCACTACAAACAAATACAGTCTCTGCGAGAATTTTTCTACAGGAAACAAGAAACATCACAATTACATAAAGCAGTAACTCTAGCAGACTCAAATAACACACCATTAAACTTACACTCACATCATACAGACTTGACACAACATATAAAAAGCATAGACACCGTTAAGCAATCGTGGGCTCGAAAGGCACTCCATGGCAGGCATCCTTATGACCTGGCCCAGGATTTTGTTGACAAAACTGCATCAAACAGCTGGTTAGATCGGGGATGCCTCTTTGGGGAAACGGAAGGATTCATGATTGCCATACAGGATCAGGTCATAAATACTAAAAACTACAGAAAACACATACTCAAAGAGACAACACTCACAAATGACACATGCAGAAAATGTCACATCATGCCAGAAACTATACAACACATTACATCTGGATGCAAGCTCTTGGCACAGACAGATTATTTACACAGACATAATCAAGTAGCAAATATAATACACCAAGAGCTTGCAAAGAAACACAAATTGGCAGATATTCATGAACCATACTACACATATTGCACAGACAGTATTGGAAAACAACACGCACAAAATGTACTACGACAGAGCCATAATCACAGATAAAACAATTTACCACAACAGACTAGACATCACACTCATTGACAAACACATTAAAATTACATACATTATAGACATAGCCATTCCAAACACTCACAATGTACAAAACACATGCACTGAAAAAATTAGCAAGTACACAGAACTTGCCCAGGAAATAAGGCATCTGTGGAGGATGGATAGGGTGCTTATTGTACCTGTCGTTCTCTCCTGTACAGGTCTGATACCACACACACTACACAAAAGCCTGGGCACATTACAATAGAGTAGAAATACATACATCACACTACAGAAGGCCTCTATATTGAATACATGCCATATTGTTAGGAAATTCCTTAATACAGACGCTGACACACTTATTTAATTTTAGTTTTATTTTGGTTGCTATGCCTTCATTCTGGTCTAGCATAGTACACAGCCACTGGTGTGAACCGAGTATAACCCACTAAACACAACAATAATAATAATCAGATTTGTCAACCATCTTCCATCAAACTGTATTGCCCTCCTGTCCTCTTTTGAATACAGCTTTGACTGTTTGTTCTTGTTTAATTTAATTTTATTATCTCTGAAATATAATCTGCAGACAGTGCTTCAATATTTTCTTTTCCTATTCAAAATCAACAGTTTTGTCTTTATCATTCACTAGAATAATAGAAAGACAAAGACACTACTAATAATCAGAGTTGAACAAACAAACAAAAAATTTAGGGACTCAATTAGGATGGCACTATGTATTAATTCTGTTATTGAGTTTAAAGCCTTATTTATTGTCTATTTAATGCTTTATAATTTACAATTAGTCAACAAATATCTAAAATAAACTATTTGGTTATAAATGTTCTTCATTGTACAATATCCACATAATGTCCTATCTAGTTTCATACAATCACAATCATACTAAATATTGTTCATACTTACTTGATAATATTTCTTTTATAATGCTGATTAAAACAGGATTTGTTGAATGGAAAAATTCTAACAAGATCCCACTGGAAGAGCAGTCATTATGATGGAGTGTTTATAAATATAGACAAGTAAGATCTTTATGAATGGCATTACCTCCAACAATAGATTTTCAGCAGATATCCTTTCTTCAAAGAATGTATGATCTGTTCAGTATTAACAAATAATTAATAAATCTAATAAATTTTATAAATACAATAAATCCAATTCTATCAAATATACAAATTATATCATTGTTTAATAGAATAAAATATAAAAATTGTCTGCTTAACATTTATTTTGAGTTATAACTCAAATTGTTACTATCATACCTATTGCCAAAACATGCAAAGATCATAATATCAACCAAAAAGATATAAAATATGGTAAATAAAATATTTTCTTTTTCTCAGACGACATAAAATTTAGAAAATCCTCAATTATCCTTAATTCTTTTACTAATAACAGACTTGAAAACATCCAATAAGACTTCCATTGCTTCTTAAGTTTATTCAACAACCATTTCTAATTAGTGGAGGAATATTTCAGTATCATTAAGTTTGACAACTGACCATAGTGATAGTAACATTTTGTAACTAGATCAACATCTACAAACCCAACATATGTACATAATATGACGACAACTACCAGATCTAGATCATTTGAAAATACCAAATAAGTATAATAATTCCAACTGTTACCATGTTTTATGCAAAATAGTATTCTACATAATAACTGTTACATAATAGTAAGCTCATCTGCAGATGAGAGCTCAATCTGTAATTATCTCAATGACATAAATAACAATGCTGTAGGCATTATCCTAGAAAAGAACGAAGCAAGTAGCAAAAAAGTAAATTTTTTGGATCTTATTATATTTGTATTGGATTTTACAAAACTTTTAAGAAGCCTGATAGCATCGGTTCCTATGTACATTGCTGTTTGGTTGATTCGGTCAAACACAAATTGGCTGCTTACTTAGAACCATATACATCTTGCACTCTTTTTCACTGGTAAATGGGAGCCATATTAAATAAACTTTTTGATTGGCTTTATACTTTGCCTTTTGCTGCATATAATTGTGTCTTTAGTTATGTTATCACACTGGCTAGAACAATATGCATACATTTTGTATTTATTGCATATGAAGCATTCGTTATTGTCTTTTGATTTCGTTTATTTCAAATGTTTGATCTTAAATTTGATTCTTAGAATGTTTTTCACATTTTCACATTCCACCTATTACTGATTAAACTGATGACGATCTAATTCAAAATGAAAACCTTTCTTTCTTAGGGTTATTTTTTGGCTTCCTGAGTAAGCAGTAATAAAGAATAATTTATACATATTGTGTCAAATATATGGAACTTAATCTAATGTCTATAATTATGTAGACATTTAAAAACAATAATTTAAAAATCTTTTAAATTGATTAAAATTAGAATTTTTCAAGTTGTTTCACATATGTCTGCAGTCTGGGATCTGCTTCTGATTCATATAGCCCAGTGTTCTTCAACCTTGGGTCTGCAGACTGCAAGTCCAGGGAAATTTCCTGTCGGTCCACAAAAAATTCGTACATGGCAGGAAATTTTGCAATAACAAAATAATAAGATTTTAAATATGTAATTAATATAAACAGTTTTTTTTTATTGCAATTATTTAAATAAAATTATAACAGTCCCACATGTCACCCATGTCTAAGCAGTTTAAATCTAAAAAAATTTATCATTTAAATTTTAAATTTAGCCTTCTGCCAATCTGCAAAATATTATTACTATTTTTGCCAATCCACAAGCATGAAGTTGAAGAATACCGGTATAGCCTATATCAGGGTTGGCACACCTTTTTGAGCCTGTGTGCTATATATTAATCATACTTAGCTTTAAAAATGTTTATGTGTGCCAAAGTTTTAGACTTTGAATAAATGATATTTAGACAAATATGCTTTAATTAGAATAAATGTAAAAAAGCTGATTAATTTTCTTTAAGTCTTAATTTTCTTAATTGGATAGAATCTTTCTGTAACGTGAAATCATTGCATTTACAGTTTCTGCTGTTGTTATTGGAAGAATCAATCATTTACTATATTATTTCTTTTATAGAAAGAAAACATGAACAGGTAACAAAGAACTTGAAAACACAGAAAGTGCTATTAGCCCAACTGCCCTTGCTGAGATTTATTTTATTCTTTGCTTTTTCAAATAACAATTTTATAATGCAAAGATGTTTACATAAGAATAAATTTATAAGAATAGTCTTCCAACTAAAGAAACATAATGCAATGAGACATTGCCTATAGCTCTCCTTTATGCTGTACACAAGAACTAAACTACAGGTATACCTCGCCTTACGTCGGTAATTGGTTCCAGGAGAACGACTTAAGTCAAAAAACGACGTAAGTCTAATTTACTTGTCTCCAAATCTACTTGTCACTAGGCTAAACCATAAATTGCCAATTCTGGTTCTGTATTTTATTTATTAATGCATTTTTAATAATATATGGTTAATAAGAATCTATTTTAAGCTTACAAACAAATAAATTTTAGTTTTTAATATAGTACAGAAAAAAGTAATCTAAATTTACGAATGCATGTACTGTAAATACAGTACATACTTGTAAATGTATATATTTTAATATGATTTTATGTGCTTTAAACGTTTTTCTAGTGATATTACGACTTCAATATTTGTGGCGGACAGACGTAAAGTCGAATAAAATGACTTAAACTTGATTTTTATTTTTCCATATACTTTTTTGACAAACGACGTATAATCGGGAACGATGTAACTCGAAACGACATAAGTCGAGGTATACCTGTATTTGGCAGAATCCACATTAAATACAGTAGTTAGAGTTTTTTAACTCATGTTTATTATTCATTGTCAAGAAAAGAGCTGACAATATACAAGGGTAGGCTGAAAAGTAATGCATACATGCTTGTAGAGCGCGAACGAAATGATTTTCAGAAGCGCGCCAGGTGGCATATGGAAGTAACATTCCCCCTCTATGCGTATGTGCAGTGTGAGGTTGTTGCGTTCATTCAGTATATTTTGAGAAGTGGAAATATGGAGATGTGTTCTAGTGCTATGTCAACGCGAGTTAAACAGTGTGCTGTTATCCAATTTTTAACTGCTGAAAAAGTGACTCCTACTGAGATTCATCGTCGCTAAAAGACCGTTTATGGTGACAATGCTGGTGATAGGTCTACTGTAAATCAATGGATAATAAAATTTCATGGTTGCGAGCCTGGAAAAGCCATAATTGTTGATGAAACACGCAGCAGACGTCTGATCACTGCCACAGACGATTACCGTTGCCCCTCATTGCAATGTTTAATTCTTTTCAGTACATACAGACTCTAAAACACCCCTGACGTTCAGTTTGTCATGTTAGAGGCAGCCTGGTGCCAATAATCTTGCAACATGACAACGCTCGTCCACACACCTCGCGTGCAACTGGAGAGGCTCTGCGAAACATGAAGTTTAAACCGATTCCGCACCCCCCTTATTCCCCCAATCTTGCGCCTTGAGATTTTTATTTTTTCCTCTACTCAAGAGAGACCTCAAGGATGATCATTACACCTCAGACAATGAGGTGAAGGCAGCTATCAAGTCCTGGATTCGAGAAAAGCCGGAAGAATTTTTCAGTGATGGAATGAAAAAACTTGTTACACATTGGAAGAAGTATGTTAGCCTTAACGGTGACTATGTTGAAAAATAAATATATGATTTTGAAGCTTAAAAATTGTACTTTAATGTACTTTTTGCCCGATCTTGCTATTTGTTTTTGTTCGTATTCTACAAGCATGTGTGCATTACTTTTCAGCCTACCCATGTATATAGTTAGTATAAGTAGAAACTAATAAGTTTCCAAGGGACTTGAGTTTGGTTTTGATGGGATAAGACAATGCACCACCAGTACTTTGCCAAGGGAAAGTGCCTTCCGGGAATACTCTATAGCAGGGGTCTTCAACCTGGGTTCCCTGGAATGTTGACAGGGGTTCCGCAAGTGATCACTATTTGCTCATCCAAAATGCACATAAAATGGAAATCATCTATACAAGGAATTTTTCATGTAGGAATAGGGTAGTGGACTGGCTTATTAAAATATTAGATTAATATAATATTTAAAAATTACAATATTAATATAAATTTGATATAAAGTAGCAGTTGATTTTAAAAAATAAATATTTTATGGATAAAATAAAATCTTGAAATTCAGTAAAAGTCACGTGCTTCAAATACACCAATTGAGCTGCATGACATCACATATTAGTTCTGTTAATCTCATTCTATCTGTTAAATACAATCATGTACAAGTGTACGTGCAAGAGAGTATTTATTTTGTTTTTATATCATAATTGATAACTCTTATTATTTATTTACAATTTAATTAGACTACCGTAGCAATAATGGATATGTGGTTGAAAACTGGTAAGCTTCATTCCACAGATGTGGGAACTAGTTTCGCTACTACTGTTGAAAATGAACCAGATGTTAATACCAAAAAGTTGTCTGGTAATTCAGAGTTACCCATTTGTAAAAAGCGGAAGTATAATGAAGAATACAGTAATACCCCAAACTTACGCAATAGGTGGGACCGAGCAATAACCGTGTAAGTCAAATTCCCATAAGTCGGGGTATAATTTCACAATTTGTGTAAAACCAAGTCGGATATATGTAAACTAATAAATGTTCTCATTAATCTTATCTTGTCTTTTGATTTGTTCACGGTTACAAGAAATCACCACATAGAGTCTCTCAAGTCTCTGTAGATATAACAAACACAGAAATAGCTACAATTTATTTTGTGTTATTTATGTGTTGATTCTGCACGACACGTCCAAACACGTAAGCTGAACAATAGTGTGGGAGGGAGTGAGTAATCAACAGTTGCGTGGCGCTCAAATAAAAGACAAATTGATGAGATTTGAAAATCACGTAACTCCAGGCTTGCATAAGTCAAGGTAGCGTAAGTCAAGGTATTACTGTACATAAAATTTGGTTTTACATGGATTGGTGATGAAAATGAACCAAAAGGTTATGTGTTGAATGTAAACATATGATGCACAACAGCAGTTTAAATCCCACAAAATTGAAAAGACATTTGGAAACAAATCATCTAACTTTACAAAATAAAAACGTTGAGTATTTTAAAAGAAAATGTAATGAGTTGAAGATTAGAAAAAAGACCTTTATGAACTTTGTTAAAAATGATAATGATAATGCTTTGGAAGTATCATATCGTGTCAGTTATCATATTGCTCAACAGGGTGAAGCTTATACGATCCCAGAAAAATTAATTAAGCCATGTGTAAAAGTTATAGTTACTACCATGATTGGAGAAGAACATGCTAAATTAGTTGATTGTATCCCCGTTTTGGATACTACAGTTTCAAGGCGTGTTAAAGATATGTCTAATTTTTGTGCAAATGAGCTCATAAGACATTTGCAAGCTTCTGAACATGGATTTACTATTCAACTTGACAAAATTACAGATATAGCTGGATTAGCAATCTTGCTCGTTATTGTGAGATATATTCATGGAATGGCTACGAAAGAAAATATGCTAATTTGGAAAAGTCTGCCAACCAGAACAACTGCGAAAGAAATTTTTTAATTTGATAGATTCATATTTCAAAAAGCAAGGTATATCTTGGGATTTATGTCATCAAGTATGTAGCGATGGAGCCAAGGCAATGCTTGGTAAATTGAATGGCATAGTTGCACGCATGAAACAAAAAAATCCTCACATGAGAAGTACTCATTGTTGTCTTCATTGACAAGCTCTTGCAGTGACGAAAATGCCAGAAGAGCTAAAAGACGTACTTAATGATTGTGTTAAAATTATAAATTTTATCAAATCAAGGCCATTAAATTCAAGAGTTTTCAATTTATTGTGTGAAAATATGGGAAGTTTATATAAAACACTACTGTTGCACACAGACGTCTGTTGGTTATCTCATGAAAAAGCGTTAGCAAGATTTTGTGAATTAAAAGATGAAATAAGAATTTTCTTATCTGAACATGCACCTCAATTAGCTCAAAAATTAAATAGTGCAGTTTGGATTCAGAAAACCGTATATTTAGCAGATATTTTTACCTATTTAAATGAACTCAACACATTGCTCCAAGGAACAAATATCAATATTTTCAAGGTACAGAGTAAAATTGATGCTACTCTTTTAAAATTGAAATTTTGGGCAGATTGCATTTTGAAAGGAAATATTGAATGCTTTCCTAATTTGCACAATATTTTAGTAGACAGTAACGCTAATCTTGATAAAAATGTAAAAAATAATTTGGTCCAACATTTATCGGATCTGCAAAAAACATTTCTTGAATATTTTCCTGTTCAAAAAGAAAAATTATCTTGGATTCAAAATCCTTTTCAAGACTGTGACACCTCCAAACTCCCAATAAAACAAAGAGAATGACAAATTGATATATCGTCTGACACTCAATTGAAACTAAAATTTAATCAAATTGACATTATGCATTTTTGGATTGACATTAGGAATGAATATCCTGAAATTGTCAAAACAGCTGTGAAACATCTAATGCCATTTGTATCAGCCTATATATGTAAAAAATCTTTCTCTTTGTATGCTGCCACAAAAACAAAATACAGAAACAGATTGGATGCTGAAGATGACATTAGGTTGCAGATTTCAACAATTATTCCCGATGTAAAAATGCTTTGCGATAAAAAACAAGCACAGTCAAGTCATTAAAAGATTTTCTTTTTNTTTGGATTGACATTAGGAATGAATATCCTGAAATTGCCAAAAGAGCTGTGAAACATCTAATGTTATTTGTATCGATCTATATATGCAAAAAATCTTTCTCTTTGTATGCTGCCACAAAAACAAAATACAGAAACAGATTGGATGCTGAAGATGACATCAGGTTGCAGATTTCAACAATTATTCCCGATGAAAAAATGCTTTGAGATAAAAAAAAAGCAGTCAAGTCATTAAAAGAATTTTTTTTTATTAATTTGTTATAATATATTGTTCCTTTTGTTAATTATTCATAAAATTTATTCTAGAAAATAAATAAAATAAAACCTGATTCACTACCTCACTATTCATTGTCTTATTAATTAAGATGTTTGTATTAAGATTAAATGAAGATACAAGAATAATTTTGCAAATTTGAGTAGAAAAAAGCTTTGATAAACTATTTTATCTGCTACTTAAATATGAGGTTACTTCAAGAAAACCATGAGCTCGAAGGATTCCTAAAAGTGTAAAAGGTTGAAGATCACTGCTCTATAGGAAACTAGTCCCTATTTAGGTATTAGACATATGAAGAGAAATCAAAAAACTCCACACAGCCAGCCCATTGGTGAGGTGGAACCCCATGATCAACTTCCTAACAGAAAGACATGATTTTAGTGAATCAATTACCAGTTAATTCATTTAAAGCATGTAAGTTTTGCTCTCCAAGACAAAATCCTAAAGGTACCTTTGAAAAAAAGCAAAAAAGTTATATAAAAGGATTAAATAAACAGTTATATTTTTCAAGAAAATAATTTTTATTGAAATAATTATACTGTTTTCATTTATGCCAAATCAATATTTTAATCATTTACTAAAAATTAATGTTGATGAACAGAGTATGAGAACAAATCATAAATTTGTAAGAAAAAAATGAGCAATAACAAAATTGAAAATACCGTTGAAATATATTATATATGTTAACAACCAGATTTGATTTATTTAAATATAAATGAATACTTTTTATGTACGAACATCCCAAAACCCAATATATTTAAATTTAATAACAGATGGCACCTAACACTCGCCAAAAAATTACTAAGACAAATTATTATTTACATACTTTTAATCTAATTTAGAAATAGTTGGTCGTATTTGATACGATATTAGTTTCAACCAATAAAGTAGTTTTCAGCTTCTGTGGATGTTTCAATCAATGTCCAATCTTTAAATTATATTAAAATGCTTTGTTTAGATTAGGGGTCCCCAAAGTGGTCGATATCGACCCCTTGGGGTCGATAAGAGTTCTCCAGGGGTCGATTAATACACGAAGGTCGAAAGGGGGTCGATCAATACCAAAGAGGATCAATTAAACTGTCTAGGAAAAATATAGAATATTTCAATAAAAATTCGAAAAACGGATATGATCAACAACATTACTGACTACACTAGTTATAACTTGAGTTTTGCCTTAGCCTACGCCGCTTTAAGCATGTGCTACTCTGTTTTCACGCATCTGGCAACTGTACCAGTGTTACAAACCTGTTACGAACACTGGTAGTTCATTATACACAGACATACGTTACACTGCACAGTTACATTCTAGTAGGGTTGTCGCTCTAAGTATTTTATATCTAAATGTAGATATTTTATCCTTTACAGAGAAAATATCGTAATATATCGAAGATCATTAATATAGTACAGAAGCATTTGCAAGGAAAAAACGTTACAATTGTTCAAGCTCGAACAATCATAATGGCCTTTCAAGTAAAACTGGAGCTATTTAAATCTTCACTGGCACAATCCGATTTTAAATATTTTTCAAACTTGCGAAGAAAATGAAACTATAATCTCCACACGAACCGGGGAGGAAACGAAAGAAAGAAAGAAAACTAAAAGATTTCCGACCATGATTTGGAGATATACAGTATATTAAACATCTTGATAAATTAAGAGAAGACTTTAAAGCACGTTTTGAAGATTTGGAGAATATGCACGTTCCTGAATGGTTTGCTAATCCATTTGATGTAAAAATAGATAATGAAGGTAGTGAACCTGGCTTAGAAGATGAAGTGAGTGAAATATGTGTAGATCTCAAAACTAAAGTGTTGTTTAAAAATAAAAACTCAGTGAATTTTGGAGCAATAACGATATTGCCACTAAATATCCCAAGCTCAGAGCAGAAGCCGAACCTTTCTTACTCGCATTCCCAACTTCATACGTGGTTGAAGCTGATTTTAGCCACGAGAACGCTATTTTGACAAAACAGAGGAACAGATTGAACTTGGAAAACCGTGGTGATTTGCGACTAAAACTTACCAATTTTCAACCGAATATCAATAATCTTGCTGCTTCTCTTCAGACACATCCATCCCACTAATATCAACTATTTTAATAAAAAGGTATGTTAACATATTTTTAAGGCATTCAGTAGTAGTCACAAAATGACAGTAAGAGGTTTTTTCCACCCAATATAACTTGTTATGTTTTCAAAAATAATCTGGGGGTCGATAAGAAGGCAAATATTCTATAAAGGAGTCGACGGGATAAAAAGTTTGGGGACCCCTAGTTTAGATTTTTACTTTACATACTGAATTTCATAATAAAAATAGTTAGCATGCACATTAATAGCCAGAATTATCTGCCATGCACTCAAGATCATTCACTTAATGCTAATCATTCATCATCCACAAAGATACTGATCTGTGTACACCAATCCTGCATAAAACAAGACCTTACCGTACTCACAAACTGGATCTTTAATAATAAAATGATTAAGGAATTCAATATTGTAATAGAAAAGTATTTTAAAATCATTAATTTTATCAAACTTTACAATTCATATCATTATTCATAATATATAAAAATTATAATCTGTTTATATAAATATTGAATTTGTTCTGAATTGATACAAATAATGTTTTGTAATGTAATTCTAGAAGTGTAAGACTCAAATTATAGTAAAGTTAAGTGTTCTTTCTAAATTGATATCTAGTATTGACCAACTGAAACATAACCCAAACACAGTTAGGTGCATTTTCATACAATATTATAACAGATATTTTAAATAAATTGTAAACAATATTGTAAAAGAATGTAAATTATAAATAAAATATAAAATAGCAGTAATATTAATGAACTTTTTGATAATAATAATAAGAAGAAGAATAATAAAGGTAGAAAAATGAATTAATAACTGAATCATCAACAGTGGGTGAATTTCAAATAATGTTAACATTTTTGACCTTGATAATGGGCCATCTTCAAGAGTTGACAGTTACCCTGGACTTTCCAATTGTCTACAGCTGAGAAGCTTACCAACTCCCGATGAGTCAATTCTGGGAGATTTCCATTCCAGGAGTAAAAAATTTTGAGAGATTTGACATTTTTTACTCTCACTTGTCAGCAATATCAAAATGCCTAGCTTTTAACTCTTTTCATATACAAAGTGTAATGAAACATCACCTCAATATTTTAGGGCTAGACTCTGGAGTCAAAAATAACCTTAAAATTCTCTATAAACACTTTTCAAAATCTGGCTTGCCAAAAAATCATATTGGAAACCAATTTTAAACCTCTTGCCAAAAGGATACTGCTGTTTGTTTTCCAATTTTGTAATATCAACACTTAGAAACTGAAGCTTTTTATTTTAAATGTTAAAAATTGTAATTATACATCTGCATCTACAAAGCACATATTGAGCAGTTCTTGTAGATCATTCTGTTTAATTTTATAAGAAATGAAATGTCATTCATACTTGCTACCCAATTATTTTTTTTTACTGTTATGTGCTATTGCAAAATCTTAAAGTGAATACGACTTTATTTACATTTATTATGGAAGTGCCTACTTAGGTAACATTTACTTGCCTCAGTCCATTGATTTAAGCATAAAAAAACAGGAATTTACTCTAAAAAATTGGCAATTCTAGTGTTAAATAACAACAAATGCTAAGTAATTTGTTCTCATTTACTTTTATAAGAGTTCAACAGCAAAAACAGTTTTACAGGAATTAAAAAAAAAAAAAAAACGTTATACTTTACAAGCGTTAATTAAAATTTATAGCTATATTTGTAATAAAGGTATTATTATATAACCATATTATATAATTTCCTATATACATTTTTTTATATTTACAAGTAAAATTTTGGTAAAATTTAACGCAATTTTACTTTAAATTGAACTTTTTAAACTGTAACATTATTTTATTATTGAATTAATACTTAAATTTCGAATTTTTATCCCCCAAAATAACGATATTATTAATTTTTTCCGCTTGATTTCAACTATAACTTATATAAATATTTAAATAAATTATTAATTCAATCCTTATTTATTTATTTATTTTTCCACGTGTAACTCACCACATTTCAATTTCAAACGGACCAAAACAAAGATGACGTTTTTTGAAAATCAAGGCTACGAGATTAGGAAAACAGAAAGTGGCGCCCTCGATCGAGAATGTACGTTAAGCCTAAATAACGATTGAGTAGTGACTTTGGTTTGTTTCTCCGCTTAAAATTACAATAAATTTCGCTATATTTTACTTTATAAACGAATCATCATGCCGAAAAGAAAGTGTAGAAGTAGTAGCCCCGTTCACGAGGACAATGTTTCCGACGAAAGTATGAGCTCGGATATATTGGCTGCTACACCGGTTTTGACTCGACAGAGATCAAAGCAATTCAAATCCGTTAACGATAAAATTAACAAGAATTCCAATCACGTGGCCGATAGCGATTTTATGAGTAATGGAGCCTCTTCTGAAGACACTGATGACACCGGGAGTCGCCAACAGTCTCGAGTGTTGAGGAGGAGGCAGATGAAAGTGGAGAATCACGTCTCGGATTCGGATTCTGGAAGTGAGAGGCAGAGCCCGAAGAGAAAGCGGGGTAAAAACAAACCGTTCATTCACCCCGTAATCAAGAAGGAGAATTCAGAAAGCGAAGCCAGTAACGGTATGGCCCGGTCGTACCAGACGCGGTCTGCTCAGAGCGCCAAGATTCCTCTCCACCGAGACGATTCCAGCAGCGAGAGTGGAAGCGAACATTCCGGCCCCGTCAAGAAGACGTTCAGGAGGAAGAGGAATCCCGCCAAGGGAAGAACGAACAGACAGTCCGTGTCTAGTCAGGATTCTAAGCAGGGAAATCAGGAGAAACAGGATAGCGAGGAGGAATTGAAGTGTCAGGTTCCCGGATGCGATTCTAGAGGTCATCTCAGTGGAAAGTTTTTACACCACCGTTGTATTAGTACTTGCCCGATCTACCACAATACTACTCCGGAGGAGTGCGAGAGACGCTATCACGAAAGAATGCAGCGGAAGGCCGAAAGGCAGGAGGCGGCTGAACAGAGTGCCGTCAATAAATTTGGTTTGAGAAAGATGGGACCCACACCCGATCAGAGAGAACGGTTCCGCTGTTTGATGGAACAGAGAAGAAAAACCGATCCATCGAAAAATAAACAGAACGGGAAACTGGAGAACGGTCACAATTCGTCAGAAGAGAAGATGAGAGAACCGTCGCTTACTTTGTTAAGCCCAGTTTTTGATTTAGAAATGTTTAGAGAAGCTCAAGCGAGAGCTGCCCAGGAATTACAAGAACAACAACAGAAATCAAAACGCATCGGTATCAGAACAATAGAAATGGGACGATACGAGATGGATGTTTGGTACAGTTCGCCATATCCTGAAGAATATCAATGCTTACCGAAACTGTATTTGTGTGAATTTTGTTTAAAATATATGAATAGTCCCACCATTCTGCGTCGTCACATGGCAAAGTGTGTTTGGCGTCATCCTCCCGGTGATGAGATTTATAGAAAAGGAAACATTTCTTACTTTGAAGTGGACGGAGAAAAGAATAAATTATACTGTCAGAATTTATGTTTGTTAGCAAAATTGTTTTTGGATCATAAAACACTATACTTTGATGTCGAACCTTTTCTCTTTTACGTTATGACAGAAAGTGATAGTGAAGGTTGTCATATGATCGGATATTTTTCAAAGGAGAAGAATTCATTTTTAAATTATAATGTTTCGTGCATATTAACATTACCTCCATATCAGAGACAAGGTTACGGAAGGATGCTAATAGATTTCAGCTATCTTTTAAGCAAGGTAGAACATAAAGTAGGATCTCCAGAAAAGCCTCTCTCCGATTTAGGACTCATCTCTTATCGTAGTTACTGGAAAAGTATTCTTCTTGAGTATCTGTGCAATTACGACGGGAAAGAAATCTCAATTAAAGATCTGAGCCAAGAAACTGCAATTACCGCTTATGATATAGTTAGCACTTTACAAGCTCTGGGACTGTTGAAGTACTGGAAAGGTAAACACATTGTTTTGAAGAGACAAGAACTGATCGGAGAATATCTTTCTAAAGCAAAAAAACGTCGGACCGACAGATCGATCGACGTCGAATGCTTGCGTTGGCATCCATACAACTCAAACAATTCTCTTAGTAACAGATAATATATTAATTTCATTTCTTTTACAGTGTGCCAGTTATTATTATAATTTTACACAAAACAAGAAAAATACTGTATATACCAGTTGTGAAAATTTTCGACATTTATTCATTGGTAAGAGCTATATAATTCGAGTAGAAACAAGTATGTAAATTTCATTATTTTGATTTTATAAATGAATTTTATGTGTAAATCATTTTATTTACTATGAAAAAGTCAGCATTCATACTTAGAGATAAAGTGGACTTTATCTTGTTCTTTATATATTTTCTTTGTTTTTCTTTTCTTTTGTGAAATGTGGACTAATATTGAGTGTAATGTATTGTTGTTTGTTGATAAATAAAGCTTTATTATTGAATACTATAAATATACATTAGTTTATCAGAAATATGTACATATATTTAAATCATTTCCTATCAAAATGTGTTCATAGTATATTTTTCAGAGAATTTTTTAAATGTTGATTGAAAATTTATAAAACATATATTTTATGATTATGTACAACACTGATTAAACAAATGGATATTTATGCTTTTATTCATTAATATTTAATGAACATAGTGAGGTAGATAAAGAAGTAATTACATTGAGAAAGCATTGATTTTAATTTATTTGGTTGTTACAATGGTTAGAATTATATCATCAAAATAGGCTACTAATAAGCAATATGCTTAGAAATAGTATAATATTTCTATTATATGTTAATCCGAATGATAAATATCACGTATGTTATAATGATAGATCGGATACATTCGTTATAAAACTGAAAAAACACTCTTCAACATAAAAAGGGAACATGGTTAAATCGGTGTGATCCGCCATATTGAATCGATAATGCGAATGAGTCACCCTTGTGGCAATTTTGCACAATCCCTTCTGATAAAATTAAATATACCGTTGGATTTATAATAGTAGCTGAATAATTAATCGAAGAATACAATATATATATTTTAATTTAACATTTTAAAACGTATATAAACGAACATATTCGTAATAAATATTAACAAAGCTAAAAAGTTTATAGTCCACTAATTTTAAGTTTCGGTCACGTGAATGGCATTTTTAAAGTATCGCCAATTGGGTACAGTTTGAATAAATATCGAAACTATTCGTAATTTATGAATTATGATTTTTGCCACCAGAGGGACACAAGAATTAACGATATCCCTCTAGTGGCAAAAATCAACAATATAAAAATATTTTAAATTAACGACGAGCTGGAGTATACTACGTAGAAGCGGTCCGTTCCCTGAACATTGGTAGTTCGGTCGTGGATTCGCTCCTCGCTAGGATTGTGAAGTTTTCCGGATTTTCTCCACGTCTTCTTTATCCTCGCCTTTTCCCCTCTTTATATGGGGTCGGCGTTTCTTTCTCTAATACGTTTCTTCCATTTCTCCCTATCAAGGGCTTCTTCTCTCTTAAGTCCCCTCTGGTTCAAGTCTTCTTCCACCTTATCTTTCCAACTCATCTTTGATCTTCCTCTTTTCCTCTTTCCTTTTATTACCAGTTTTCTGGTTTTCTTTCCAACATAATTGTCGCTTCTTCGCTCTGCGTGGCCAAACAGCTTCAACCTTCATTCTTACATCTTTTTGCTCAAGGGGCCCACTTTAACAGAACCTCTAATAAAATCATTCCTTATTCTATCCTTCCCTGACACTCCACTCATCCATCTCCACATTCTCATCTCCGCCACCTCCATCTTTCTTTCTTGGGCTCCTGTTATTGCCCACGTCTCAGCTCCATATAACATTGCGGGACTAACAACTGATTTATACAGTTTTCCTTTCAGATTGCAGCTAACTTTATTGTCGCACATCACACCGCTCAGCTTCCTCCAGTTCATCCATCTACATTGAATTCTATGCTGCACCTCCGAGTTCAATTCTCTTTCCATCTCGACAAATGTTCCAAGTTATTTAAAACTTGGAACAAAAGGGAGCGCACATTTTGGATTTTAATATTACACTCCATCTCTACCATTCAGAGTCATATAAGCTGTTTTAGTTCTGCTAATCTTCATGCCCTTTTCTTCCAAAATTTTCTTCCAATCTTCCAGTTTCTTCTCAGCCTTGGTTTGGGAAAGTTCACACAGCACAATATCATCCGCAAACAGCATACTCCACGGAGCCTCACACTTCAGGTCACACATCATCACGTCCATTATCAGGTCAAACAAATAAGGGCTAAGGGCCGATCCCTGATGTAAACCAACGTTAACGAAGAACCCTTCTGTAGTGCCCACACTGCTCTTAACTTGGGTCTCTACTCCCTCGTACATTTTCTTTACGATCCTAACATATTTCTCTGGAACATTCTTTTCCCTCAAACATCTCCATACCTCTTGCCTTGGTACTCTATCATATACTTTTTCTAGATCTATGAACACCATGTGCAAATCTTGCATTTCCCTATGCCTTTCCATCAGCTGTTTTAGAGCAAAGATAGCATCAGTCGTACTCCTTCCCGGCAAAAAGCCAAACTGTTCCTCTCCAATCTAATCCTTCTTTCTACAATTTTCTCCCAAATCTTCATTGTATGGGACAATAACTTTATACCTCTGTAACTTCCGCAATTCTGTACATCTCCTTTACCTTTAAAGATCGGCACCAGAATGCTCTTCCTCCATTCATCTGGGGTCTTCTCTGCTGCCAGAGTTTCTTCATAAGGTCCCAGAGGATATCAATTCCCTCTTTACCCAAACCTCTCCAAGCCTCAACCGGAATCCGATCAGTGCCTACTGCTTTCCCCATCTTCATTTTCCCAAGCACACTTTCCACTTCTTCCCTGCTAATATCTTCCACCACTCCTTCATTTGCATCTCCATTCTCGTATAAAGTTCTGGAGTTTTCTTCATTCAATAAATTCCTAAAATATACTTTTTATCTTTCCTTGACCCTTTCGTAATCTTGTAATACTACTCCTTTATCATCTTTAATCAGTTTAATAGAGGTAAAATCTTTTGATGCCTTATCTCTTGCTTTGGCTATGCTCATCAACTGTCTTTGGATTTTTTCCACGTCTCTAACGCCTAAATATGGGTCGGATGTCCTTAAAAGAATTCCCGGAAGGCATTTACCCGGCTCTTCGCGAGTAATTTCGTATGGTCAAGCAAAAAAGCTTCGGCCAGCTCTTCGGAGCCGGCCGAACGCTGGCGCCTAACGCCTCCTATTTTTTCGGGGAATGGTTCGTCTCGGATATGTCGGGCCCCGTCCCTATCCGGCTGTTTCGTTATGGGCCTAGACTGAGGGACTTGAATAAAGGCCCTCTTAGTGTCCACAATGCGCAGTGAAAGAAGGAACGGTTTGTACTTTAACTATTGAAGTTATACCGTACTGAAATGTTTCCACTAAATACGTAAAGTTTCCATAATTCTTGCAACAGTTGATTACTTTTTCAATACTTCTGGTAATAGTGCATGTCCGTGCTGAATATAAATTTTACTCATACTACTATTTATTATAAAATACGGTAAAATGAAAATCGAATAAATTAAAAGATGCACAGTACCACTTGTCTTTTCTCCCATTAACAAATTAGTGAAGGCAGATTTTTACTTTGGCCAACCGACGTTTTAAATTGCAAAAATTATTATAGTCTGTCCGATTACAGTTGCTATAGATTCTTACTTTTTATTGAGTGTAAATGAAGATTTATTTTATTCGAAATCATGTCAGAGGAATCTCAACAAACTGTTTCAAAGCCTAGCAAAGAAGTTTAGTTCTGGTTTTAAGCGCCATAAACAATACATTCAATTCAGGAACTGGGATATCAACTGGTTGCTGTGCTTCCGGTGCTTCAAGTGGCATTCATTTTTAATATTGATGGTGTTACAGAATCGATGGAAACTAGGCATTGAGAAATCTTAATACTTTCTATACTTCTAAAGCAAAAATGATGAATGTTATTTGTTTTGTACCTTGTTAAATGGAAATATAGATGTAAACTACTTTTTAAAATTTAACGTAAATACTGGATCCATCTACCAATGACACTTTAGAACGTGATGTGAATGGACAGCCATTTCCCTGTGCGTCCGCAATCGAACCTGTGATCATTTGAACTTCGACTGACAATTTTTAATTGTTTCCGGACGATGCGTGGTACAACGTCCCTTCACCGTACTCGGCAACCTCCAATTTTGTAGTGTGCAGCAATTTGCGCTCGCCCCCGAACAGACAATTGGTTTGCCATCGATTTTGTCACTGTGCGTGTGGCATCTCTGGGTCATTGTCCACTCCATCAATGAGGAATTTATAAAATTCCATTGATTGATGTACTTGCACACATAAACGTTATTATTATTGCATTATTATAACAAAAACTACAGCGATTCCTTAGTGCATAGTTACTTTCCATTCCCTGTACTTTATATTGGTAAATGCACAGATGATATTTAAGCTTCAATCGCACTTCCATCGAACTGTTGGATGATGCGACATATTTGTGATGATTTTTAGAAATATAGGTATTTGGATTGACAAGAAATTACCTTTATTTCCTCGGAGGTAAAAATCACGTTGAGTAGTTTAATTACAAAAAATTACATAATACAAAATATCATTGGTCTCGCGAAGAATAAAATTATAGAAATTAGATTATTGCAGGATAATAGAAAACTATATACTTTTTTACTACCTGTTAGAAGCACGATTTGGCACATTCTTTTCGTTAGTTACTCGTTTCCAGCGCTTTAGTCGTATAAAGCTCTGGTACATTTCTTTTAAAGCAGGGCGAAACCATTGTACTTTGTGAACATCTAGGACGGACTTTACGTATCACAGACAAAAACTCATTTTGCATGCATCTCTATTTTAAACCATCTCTATACTATTCGGTTCCTTCAAGTGAAACATAGACTCAGACATCCAATGCAGGTACAGTAAAACCTGTTCAAAACGGAAACCCTGCCAAACCGGAAGCTACCTTGCGAGTCCGGTTTACGCAGGTTTTACTGTATTTGATGATAATCTAACAATTATGATTATTCATAATACATGTGCCACTGCTTCAAGTCATTTTACCGTTAAAAAAAAAACTATTTAAACTAAGGGTAGTCCTAAAGTCAGTTAACCGTCGTAAACACTAAGACTTTTTTGATAATTTTAATTTAAATTGATTTCTATCACGCTTCCACCGATTTCGTGAAAGATAAACACGCTGCTATAAACCCAGTTCACCACAAACATTCACAAAAATACTGGAACATACAAACGGAACAGTTAATCGACTTTTGAGCCATCATGTATATTTTATATTATATTAAAGAGGGGTCTTCTTGTTTTTTCGAATTAAATTAAATTTTAATTCGATGCATTTAGAGATTAAAAAAGCGTCACAACCTGAAAATTTTGTAAATTTATCGGAAGTTAATTTCTTCACGATTTAAACTTGAGTTTATTATTAGAATTTTAATTAATGAAATAAAATTTTTCTCAAGAATTCGAAAATAAAGTTATTATCAGCGGTTTTTTTTATTATTATTATTTTAGCAAAATACGAAACGACATTGAAAAGTGCTAATTAACAATTCGTTGTTGTAACACCACGTTCAGTGGAAGTGTTTCGCTTAATTATAATTAGGAGGACATTTAAATTAAAAAAATTAAAATATTAAATATATATTAAGAATATATTTTATAAAATTACTTTTCTTGAAAATAGTGAGCAGTTTTTTTTAATGTTACTTTTTATCATTTTAATACTCCGCTTCTAACGACCTTGGGGCTTAACAATGGTGATGCCGTTTCTACAGAAATAAAAATAATAAAGAAAAAGTCTTAAAAATAATAATTAATGACAAATATTTTCATGCATTAACTTTAATTAAAGTCGATTTTAACGACTTTAAGACACTGCAGGGATTTATCTGCATTTCTTGCAAACGAATTGATGGATGGTTGGACGACCTCGCCTTATGTCAACGCCAGAATGTTTGGTTTTAACATAATGGTACACCACCGCATGCTGCTAGAGAAGTTTGGCTTAATGACCACTGGATTCGTCTACATGGACTACTTCGATGGCACCCAAGACCCCCCATTGTTGTTGGAATATTTAAAAGATCGTGTGTATAAATCCCCATTAGATGCTGCAGACCTCGAAAGAATTGTGGAGGTCTGTCAAACACTACTCGAGATGTGTTTTTCCACGTCGTGACTCAACAACTGAACGAATACATAGGTGTGTTGCCGTTAATGAAGGCACTTTTAAGTGATTTTTTAAGATGCTGCTAAATAGAAGTGACTGTATTTTCATGTAGAAAGTGACATTTGTGACCCGGAAAAGTTATTTTATCTTCACTGAGTGCAATAAAATGCTAAGCTCCAAATTACAGTCTGCTCTATGTCCTGTGAGATAATTAATGAAATCAATGCCAAGCAGTTCAGTACTATAAGAAGCCAAACTTACACAACCCTTCTTTATCTTTTTTTTAATTGAACAAAATGTAAACTGTACTAATCTCGACCTGCTCTACAGCTCTACAATTGGAAATGTAGTTCTATCTGCAATAGGAGCTAAGATAACTTTAGCTCCTCATTTTTACGAGCTAGGGATTTAGTGATGTACTAATTAATAGCCCATCTTCAATGATGTATGAAACAAAGCAATGTTTACATGAATCAGACAGTTCTTTCTGAGCTATTATCCTGCATTGCTTTTAAGGAGACCCTTTATACCTACATCTGACTCACTTGTCTAGTCAAACTGACTTTTGAACCGCACTGTACTTAACTTACATGTGTACTGTACACGTATATGTATGTAATTTCTCTCTGGAATTTTTCTTCTATATTTCAATCTTCCGTTTAATTATTATACAAACCGAAACGTTATTATCACTGTAGGAATTTAAATAATTAAAATTAAAAATAAAATTTAAACATTAAAAAATACATTTTTGTAAAATTAATTAATTTTATTTTAAATCGAATATTTTTAACAAAATAATTTTCTACCATTTATATCATTCCCTAAAAACCCAAACTTTCCATTCCTGTTTCATTTAAGCATTTAAATTGAATAAAGTTGAGATAAATAGCCTAACATTAAAATTAATGTCGTTCTTTATCTAGACCATGGCTTCCAAACGGGCGTTGGCATTGACTCCTACCGTGTTTCCCCGAAAATAAGACTTCCGCAGAAAATAAGACCTAGCACAGATTTTGCTGAATTGCGAAATATAAGACCTACCCCTGAAAGTAAGACCTAGCGAAGTTTTTTTTAGTAGTAACGGTCATGGTTGAAAGTGGTCGTTGGCTTTTTCAAAGTACAGCCACTAATTGGTCAGCAGACAATTACGCCACGCGGCATGATTTGCATAAGACTATGGCTTGGGAATCACAGATTTGCATAACGTTACGGCTGGTGATGGCTAATTGGTCGGCCGGGAATCACGCCACATGACATTTGCATAGTGCTACGGTTCAGTAAGCACTAATTGGTCATCGAGTCCGATGTTGACGCTATGAAAAGGCGACAGTTCGACACACCGGATATACATCACTCTCGTCTATGTTCGACTTGGGAATTTTTTTGTTCAATAATAAATGTGAATTCTTCTTTCAGGAAAAAATAAGACATTCCCTGAAAATAAGACCTACCGCATTTTTCAGAGCAAAAATTAATATAATACACTGTCTTATTTTCGAGGAAACACGGTAAGTATCATTATCGACCCCATTGGGAAGCCCATGTTTAGAAATTTTACATAATTTTTTTCTCAAATAAATTTAGGAAGATGCCATTTAAATATTATGTAGAAAGACTGTTTCAAATACATACTATATATATGTTATTAAAGGGGTCGATGGACCTTTAGAGAAGTCGAAAGGTTGGAAAAAGCCTTAAAAGATTGGGAAACCTTGATATAAACTAATAACTATAGTTAGAATTTTCTTCTTGCATTGGTAGCCTTAGGATTTTTTATTTAAAAATTCCAGAATTTAAAGTTATTCTGAATAGATTTCATTCACATTTTCGTACAAATTAACACGGTGTTTCCACTTTCTATTCGTGTTGCTTTCACGTCTATTATAAGTCACTCCATTTTTTATTTTAAACATAAAGTTAAGAAGAGATTAATAGTTAGAAATGACAAAAACAAAATTGTTCCCTTATATAGAAACACGAGATGAATAAAAGAATAATAATAATAAGTCTACAGTATAATGAAGTTACAAATTAATTATAAATTCATATACTTTCGTAATATATTTATGTATATTGTATACGTACGTTTGTATAATTATAAAATTTAACAATCTACTGTGAAAAATCTCATTACTTATCGGATGTCTTACCATTGAAAAACCCCGATGATGTAATCTAGAGGCCTTATAAATTTCTCTCTGAGAAAGAAACAGTTTGAAAATGGAACCGTACAAATGGATGTCTGTCGTTATTGTTTTATTTTTGTGTAAAAACACCGAGTCTTCTATATCTGACGTCTTTCGAGACAATACAGTTCCTACTAACATAATGGAGTTCGAAAGAAAAGTTACGAAACTGATGAATTCAGTATTGGAACAAATTTTTCCTCTAGCAGTTCGAATTGTATCCGAATCTAACGTTTCTCAACCCTGTACTATAAGCCTTCTGCATTTTTTTACGAATTTGAAAACGTTGAAAGAATGGGCCGTAAACAGTAAGTGGTATTGTTTCATTTTGGCAGTAGGCTATAAACCTACACTTTTGTAGAAAGTAAATAATGTAAGTAGTGTTGTTTTCGTATTGGGTCTTCGCTCGTAAAGAGGGGAAGCCAGGGTTGCAACTCTATCACCTGACTTTGTACAAAAAAAAGCACATGATGAACCGAGAGCATCGCCGCCATTACATAGTAGAAGGTATAGAAGGAGACTCTCGTCACGGATGCCTCTATAATTTTCGTTTAAAAATTCGTAAATAAGAAGCATGTCTCAAATTTTAGAGTTTTTCTATTCTGTCCTTTCCATAGCCCACTAGTGACCGAATAGATAAAACCACTGAACGCTGGCATTTGGTCGTGGGTTCATGTTTCTCTAACGGGCTAGCCATGTGGAGTTTATATCTAAATAGGAGTCAATTTTCCATAGAAAGTACTCCTGGGAGACATCCACGTATCGCGTTGCCGTATACAAACGAACATTGTCCTTTCCGCGCATTATAAAGCTGTCTCTCTTTCCCGCCAAAATATGCGAAACTGTGTTCTTAATTTCGCCCATAGTTAAATTGTTTATGCCCAAGGTTAATAATAATAGAAAATTATAATTTGGATAAATAAATAAAATTTCTCTATTAATACAACAGTGTTAAAATGATATTTCTGACTGATATTGGTATATATTAAAAAGCACCTTGACGACTTTAGAAGTATAAATCTTTTTATCATATTATTTTGTAATAAATACATATAATACGAGCATTGAAACAATAGATAAAAAGGTACATGATGGGAATATGGCCGATGTTGATGATATATCCAATTGGCAGCACAATTGGCAGTAGATCGTAGGGAAAGATAGCGTTAGTATAGTTTTCCAGATGTGTCTGAACAATTTCTATTGGAAAAAAGACCAAAGAATGACGTAGAGCCGCCATTTTCTGGAAATTTATTCATTTGTCTAAAATGCTTAAAGTGATATAAATAAAAAGAAAATTATATTTTATTCCATTATCATTACTTTTCCGGCTGTTACATATAACCGAGAGAAAGTCGGTAAAAATATGACCCCCACCCAGATTTTTACATTTTTGGACTCAAGACACCTTGAAACGTCAAGAATGCAAAAAAATTCCGGTTTTTTTTGTATGTATAGATGTTAATGGAGGGCACGAATTTGTTCACCATCTTTGAAGCTTAATAACTCATGTGCTTTTTGTCGAAATTTTCTGAAATTTTGCAAGGAGGTTTGTGTATTAGGGGGTTAAATTTTGGTGGTTAAAGATCGAGGGAGTGAGACGGTAAAGAGGGTCGTGTGTATCTCAGTAGAGGCAGACTTAATGACGATTTTACTCGTTATTAGCGTTTAGAATTTTTTATGAAACCCGTCCCTACCCTCAAAATAAAGTTTTTTGCCACTTTATAATAGTTAAAAATTTAAAAAGTCTAAGACAGAGGGGAAATTGGTGGTCATATTGACTTCATATGCTTTTAATGTGGCACAAAGTTAGATTGTTGAAAATAAGCTGTTTTTTTTGGGTCCCAAATGAATGAAATGTCTAATTATTTCTTCCTTATTACCAAAGAATCCAACTATGTTGTCTCACAAAAATTATTAAAAATTCCATAAAATGACTTTAGGAAAATTTTATAAAGCTTAGTGTGGCCATATTTCCATCAGCATATTAAGAATATGCACATTCCCATAAACTTAAGATAATTACTTTATGCTTTCAATTTAGTATTATACATGCAAGAATATATATATATATAATAAATATTTCTATTAATATTATACTTTTTGCATAGTGTTGGATGCAAGCGCTAAACCTCCTGCTAGCATTCTTCAAGGTACCCTAACGGTTTTCGGTGGTTACGACGAATGCCTCGATATTAATGTTAAGAACAAGAAAGAAAAAACAATCCTAAGAGGTCAATATTGTATGGTAGAACTAAAACCTCCCGATTTTTTCTTTTCGGAACTGAAACAGTTAAATTCCACGGGCCTCAAAACATCAGTAAGTAGTATTTACATCCGGACGATTTATTTAATTATGTTTAAAGAATTATGAGACGTTTCCATATACAAATTGCAAAGCTGTGGAAAAGTTTACAAAGATACGCAGACGTGGGAAACGAATTTGCATTCCGTCTAGGACTGTGTGTTCCCGACAAATGTTCGGCTCGTGACATAAAACAAGTGGTATATTTGGGTTCGTTAATTTAATTTATTATTATGTACGAAAATCGTAATTGAACTTTAATATTTATTTTATTTTAAAAAAAATTATTTCTAGCAACCAGAAGTTTTGGTATAACTTCTAACGCTAAGTGCCATACAAAGATGGTGGTAAGACCAAACGTGGCTCAGATCTTGTTTATGTAAATACTTCGAGTTTCTGTTCTTTTATGCTAATTAATTATTATTATTATTTGAGAAACAACGGAAAATATTTTTCAGATCTTTTTTTGGATGCTTAGGTTTACTGGTTATACTGGGTACAGTACTCGATATCATTATACAACATACAGCATTGATAGGCCAACACGGTATAAAATTCTGTACTATAATTTAATAATTTATATTAAGTTTTCGTGTTCCATCTCTACTGTTTCGCTCACACATTTTTATAATAATAAATAAATAATTAATAAACAATACAACAACTTGAACTTAAGTGTGTAAAGTGTGAAGAATTGAAATTAATTTCTTATTTATGGTCTAAATCAGTATTTTCCAAACTTTTTGGGCTATCTCCCCTTTTAGTGTATATATTTCATACATATATATAAATACCTATTTTTTTTTTTAAAGATGTCTTCCAATCTACTTACCGCCTCTTGCCTTCAAGAACACCCTCGAGTCTGATTGCTCCCTATTGTTGTTTGAATTTGTTAAAATACTTGAGAAAATAAGTATTTTAAAAAAAGGATACTGTAAAGGCTATGTGGTAAAAGGATCAAATATGGCGGCGCCTTCTCGAATACACTGTATTATCTAATCACAAAGTCTAATCAAACTGGAGATTTTTACTGTCATTTTAATGAAATTTAATAATGTTGTAAGATAGATTTTTTTAAAATTCTTTCTCTTTACATAATAATATTTCTAAATAAGTAGTCATTTTTGGATTAAAGAGTAATTATATTAGTTTATTTAACCTACAAAATGGCAAATAAATATACTCACACGGGCAGTCATAACTGCTTCCTTAACATGTTTCGGTGACAAATTTGACTTGTTTTATTTTATATTCTTTCTTATTTCTTGAAAAATTACGTTAATGAACTATAAATAAATCGCATCACAAATTTCCGACGATTCTATAATGCATAAACGTCTTTTACTTCAGATATTCAAGATGGCGTCTTCGAACTAAAGCAGACGATCATAAAAAAAGAGACCCGGATGTAGCTGTTGGTCACGTTTGTTCTTAAGCTCTTTAACGTCATTGGTTGTTATTTCTTCTAGTTTATTAGAATAGATATAATAAGATAATTCCAGCGCGTGATTAGTTACGTCTAGAGCACGTCTTGTGCGTTTCGTTATTGAATCGGATCGATCCGATTTAATAACTGAACGCCACACAATCCGCCATCTTGTAGAATATGTTACATGAGAACTATAATTATTTTAACTTTATATTAATTATATTTGCAAATAGAAACAAAATAATAAGCTATTTGTCAATAAAGAAGTTTTTAATTAAATAAAAAAAAATATAATAATATATAAAAGTTATAAATATATTTTTCACAATTTGTCTAAGCCGAAACAATAGACGATGGAACACGAAATGTTTTAAATATTAGTTTATTTGCAATAAATGGGGTGAAATCTTTCAGGCGGACTGATTACGTTACTGATGACGTTTTCTGTATACACCAACACTATTCATTTGTTTCGCACTTCGCAAAGAATTCGCTCGCTAGCGGCCGTTCGTGGATGTCGAGTTCTGTCAGCCTTCTGGATTGTATTAGGACACACGTACTTCTTCCCACATATTTTATATTTTTCTAAATATCGTAAGTATTATTCCTTAATTAAATTAATATTATTGAAATCTTAACTGAGTAATATAATATTTTATCATTTCATTTTAGGTAGGTTGACTGGTCTAACTGAATTTGTCGACGAATTAATGTTTAAAACAATTACAAATGGAACTGTTGCTTTAGATACTTTCTTTCTCATGTCGTAAGTTACTCGTTATCATAAATTTCAATAGAAATAAATTAAAATGCTGTTGATGATGATTTCTTCCATTTTTGAACCCTTTAAAATACATACTTTTGGAGCAGATTAAATGCAATTAGAACACAAAAAGTATTTGGGTTGCTTACGAAACTTCCTCTATATATTTATTTGAATATTTATAAACACAGTCGAACCTCTAACAACGGACACCTCTAAATAGCGGCCATTTTGGGAATTTTTTTTTGTACCGAATACCTCCAAAACAATGGACGTTCTCGTCGGTGACCGTTGTTTAGAGGTTTGAACTTTAACTAATAATTCTTTTATAGAGAAAGGATATAAAAACTTAACTGTAAGTTGCGACGTGACAGTTACTGAGACAAGAAGTGTCTTCATTTTCAAACGCCATTTTGCTCATTATATTTTAATTTTGTAAGAAAAATACCCACATGATTTAATTACCGAGAATCTATTTGCAATGTGTAAATGATATTTTAAGTTATTTACAAACATACATTTAACTATCATCAAGTGTAAGAAACTCTTATTGTTCGTGTACAAAATATAGGATAAATGTATAGTTCTATAAATGTTTTGATCGTAAAATCAAGTTTTCTATAAATATACATATTAGAAAATGTGATCAAAATACAGTCAAACCTCCAATAAAGGCCGTGTTTATGTTTCCGTCAGTGGTCGTCGTTCAGAGGTTACTAACATTTCTAGTTGAATGGTGATAGTGGAATACTTCGCTTAAACATTAACTTTATTCATTCTTAACTAAATATTGTGTGTTTATCTCAGACTTATCTCAGTTTTGTTTAATTTAAGAGGTATGCTTCTTGTACATACAACGTGGAATAAATTACAAGAAAATAAAGGAATACTAAATCCTGTTTTATTCTTTTTTTCTAGAATGTTGAGGTAAGTTACAAATGAAAATAACAACAATAATAATAATTAATATTAGCAAGGTTGCGGCCGAAGTTTTCATCTCTAAAACGTGAACGTCGAACGTCGAGCGCCTCTATCTCGTAAAGTGACGCCGTTCAACGTTCGACGTTCACGTTTTAGAGATGAAAACTTCTGCCGCAACTTTGCTATTTTTAGCTTTATCGTAATACATCGATTTTATTTTATTCAATTCTATTGACTTTAATTGTTCAAAAATAATTCGTAAAATAGTTTAAAAAGTTTTTTAAATGTCATTTTTTTATTTTTATTTTATTAAGAAAACATAAATTTGTGAAAAAAAATTAACAAATTACATTAATAAATTATGAATTATATTTTAGACATTAGAGGGCGTTTTATTGTAATTTGTTACCACGTGTTTTAGATTTATTCAAGATGGAAGACGATGAGATTGTCATGAGTTCCGGTGATGAATCGGAAGAAATGGGTAATGAAGATGGAAATTGTAATTTGAATAATGAATTAGAAACATATCTTCCCGGAAAAACTGTTGATGATGATGATGATTTGGAATACGATGAAACGGCTTATGTGCTGTACCATCACGCTCAGACAGGTAAGTTTCAAAGCATAGTAATTATAAGTAAATATAATCATAAGGCTACATTGATTATGTCAAAAAATAAATAATCTTCCGTGATTATTAAATTACTATTTTCAGAGTAAAGTGACGTTGTTAAACAATATCAATTCTAAAATCAGAATGATTTCTTCGTCGAAACTAAGAATTAGCTAACTTCTATGATTTCAATCATTGGCAATTATAACCGAGACGGTTTACGGTAAGATTGCAGATTTGAATGAGTGTTTGGACCTGAACAGAGCTGTAAACCATATCCATAGGAGCAAAAGTCAAAGGAACCATACCTTTACGCAGGGGTGGCCAACAGTTTTTGCCCCCAGGCCGAATTGGAAAGAAAACTTTTTCCACGGGCCGAACCAGAGGCTGGCCTAGGAAGATTTTGAGGTGGTGTGAGATCTCATTGTGGTATCACCCCGTAGAGACTGAATTGTAGATAGAGATTACAGATACATTATTCACATTATATGCTTTATCAACACTCTATGCTGTACTTACAAGATTTGTAATGGAGGGTTAACTCTAAACATGCAGTGAGTTGTTGATCTGTTTTTTTTTTTATCTTTTCTATAGGTGTCAGAATTTTTCATCAAGCTATTTGGATTTCAGTACCTAATATTAAAAGATTGATCGCGGGCCACATAAATTCATTAGACAGGCCGGATCTGACCTGTGGTCCGTATGTTGGCCACGCCTGCTTTTGTGTGTGACTCTTGCAAGCTATTCATCCTTCTATTAATGATGACTGGAACTGCCACCACTGTGGAATTCCAATGGTGGCAGTTCCAGTCATCATCTTGCTTGCTGACATCACGTTTGCATGTAGCACTGGATGCCATAATGGCAACCAGTGCCAATAACAAATAATAAATGCAGTAACTTCTGACTGAAAACAGTTTTTATCTTGAATTAGTACTACTGCCTATTCTCCATGCTTAATGTTGGTTGAGTGACTTCTTTACATGTAATTGTGTGCTTTGGTCTCACACATCAGCATCCAGCTGGGGTGATCCACCACTACATTAAGTGGTTGCTTCAGGTTTTAACATTTAGAAATCAAATGTCTAAATAGAATACTATGTCTAAATGAAAGTACAGGTATTCATGTGGAAGATGTTATTCATATATTCCAGCTCACCACATAGCAAATTGATGTATTGATAATTTATTATTATAATTAATCTTCTAAAATATTATTTATGTTAATATAAATTTGTCATTCATTAATTGAAACTTTTATGATTATAGTAGTTTAACTATTTTTATTTATAAATTTTTTAGGTGCTCCATGTTTGAGCTTTGATATTATTAAAGACAGTCTTGGTGACAATCGAGCTGATGCATTTCCACTAACAGCATATTTAGCTGCTGGTACACAAGCCCAAAGATTACACACAAATAATGTCATAGTTATGAAAATGAGCAATTTACATAGAATAAAAATTAAAAAGAATACTTTGGAGGATGAAAGTGATAGTGAAAGTGATGAAGAATGTGAAGATGATAAGCCAGAACTTGAATGTGCAATGATTCCTCATCAAGGATGTGTAAATAGGATTAGGGTGAGAAATTAATTTTTGTTGTTAAATTTGTATTTACAAACATTTGTATATAATGTATTGCAAAATAACCAAATATTTTCTTGCATAATTGCACTGCTGTCAACAGCTGCATACCTTAGAGGTATGAAGGATTACATGTCAGGAGTTGCAATTTGGCACAGAGTATTTGGTGTCCAAATCATGTGCACTTAAAATATACCAGACTTGTTGGTAGTCAGGGGACCGAGATCCGGGTAAAAAAAAATAAGAAATGCTGAGACTGTTTCTACAAACAGGCATGAGTGCGAGATTTGCGAATGTGTTGCTTGCACTCTCTGAGACATAGTCTTGTCCTGAAAATGGCTTTGCTGTTTTACTTGTTTTTTTTTATAAAAGTATTATTTACCATTTTAATGTTTAGATTTATAATATAATGACTAAAATTGATGTAAATATGAGAATCATAATAAAAAAAGCATTATACAGTCAAAACAGTATATAGTGAAAACCTGTCATTAATTAATGGAAAATTTCTTCAGTTTCTTGAATTTTATGCAATAATTAATGTGAGTTAACTTGTATATAGCAGAACCTGTCTAATGCAGAAATGGAAAGTCGGGCAGTATAATGGAAAAATTGGTGTCTTTATCCAATTTAACACAAATTTAACAAGAAGTTTACAAGTCTAGCATGTATAAATCATAAAAAAAGTCAAAAAGTATACATACCCAATACAGAATAACAATGACTGCTGTATTACAGTAATTTTATTTGGATTTGAACGGAAAGTTTTTGCGTATTTTTATTAACAGCTGATTTTACTTAGCATAAATATGTTATGTAATTATAAGTTGTGAAATTTAACACATTATAGGACCCCTCTCTCCACCCCTCGCCCTTTAACCACCGAAATTTAATAGCATCAATGCCCCTAATACATGAACATTTCAGAAATTTTCGACAAAAGGTAGAAGAGTAGTTAAGCTTTAAAGTGGGAGAACAAAATCGTCCCTCACATACATACACAAACATTTCAAACGTTTCAAGATTCCCTGAGTCAAAAAATGTAAAAGTCTTGGGCGTCATTTTTGACCAATCGTCATACTTTCCCTCTATTACTTTTCCAGCTATTATGAAAACTTTGTTGTTATATACAGTAGACCCCAATAACGCGGATTCATATAATGCGGATTCGTATATCGCGGCGAAAAAATTGCGACCCGTATTCGTATAAAGACGCTAAAAGAGACTCGTAAAATGCGGTAAATCATCATCGCCGACTCGTGTCGCGACAGGATTGGTCGAATCTGGACCAATAGTGGACGAGCAGCCGAACTACTTACACGCTACAGAGAGTTTAGCGGGTAAGTTGATTTTACTATCGTCTGTACAGTATATAAATTAGGTACTGTAAGTCTAATACAGTACTGTAATTATATACATTTCTTGTGAAAAACACATTTCTCATTCAACGGCCATAAAAATTATTTCTATTAATGATGTCTCCAAAGTTCAGCGATATTTTCGCAGAAAAATAACTCATCAGAAAATGCGCCCGCCGTTTGGTGAGCTGCTCCGCGACGAAAACAAGTTTAAGCAATGGCGTCGTCGAACGGTGCACACTCGGTAAGTAATCCTACAATTTTTTGTTTATAGNCGTTCCTGTAGACAATCATTCTTCTCAATTGTGAGATGAAATTTCAATTGTTTCGTTGTAAATTATAATTAAAAATGAAAGTTTTCGGTCTCTGTATTTAGAAAATTATATAAAATAAATAGTAAGAATGAAAAATAAATTTTATTACGTAATTTTCTGTAAAATTTCACTACTATTCACTATATAAAATTTTACTGAAATAATGAAATTTTGTATAGCGAAATAGTGAAATAAAGCAAAGAACGAATCTTTGATTTATTTAGAATATAATTTCATGAGATAATATTATGAAATTTTGTATAAACTGAAATTGGGTGAATATGGAGTCATATATACAAATATTTCTTTTATAAATGAAGTATACTTCGGTTAACTGACTTTTGGGTCACCTTATAACGCTGGAATTACTATAAAAGGCAATATAAGTAGCCTACTTTCTGAATTATTCCATAAAAAAAATATTGATTGTAATTAGTATAAAATGTGGCCAAAAAGTCGGTTAACCGTTGAAATTGTATTAAAGTATATTTAGGTTAACTTACTTTTGGGTCACACGTTTCTTATATATACATACATTTATTATATGAGGGATGGGACTCGATTTATCAGAGACAAAACTGCCCATTAAAAGTACTGTTTTCGATGCGGAACGAACCCGAATTGACAGGGTGGAATTCTAAAACGAAGAGACAAGAGAAATAATGTTACTGGGTGATTTCAATGCAAGAACGGAATCATTGAGAAATAATAAAATTATTAGACAATTCGGAGAAAATGTAACAAATGACAATGGAAGAAGACTAATAGACTTTTGTAATACAAATTACTTTAATGCCAATAATGGGTTTTTAAACATAAAGATATTCATAAATATACTTGGACCCAAGGTACTAGGCAGTGGAAATCAATTATTGACTATGCTATTACGAAGCAAAGAACTCAAATTAAAATTTTAGATGTAAGAGCACAGAGAGGTGTTACCTGCGACTCAGACCATTATCTAGTAAGAGCAAAAATCATTATTCCTTACAGAAGATTAATACAGACACAGAAAGAAAAAAAAACCGGTAATGGAAGTAATTAAAGATCTTAAATTTAATCTGGAAAGCTTAGCAGAAGAAAGTACGAGAAAATTGTTATAGACAAGATTAGATGAAAAATCGAAAGAAAAAGAGTATGATAACACTATAGAATTATACGAAAACAGCACGGCATGAAGCAACAAATAAAGCTCTAGGTCAAATCAAAGAACATAGAAAAACTTTTAAAAACTTCTGGTGGGACAAAGAGGTAGAAAACATGATACAACAAAAAGAAGTAACTTACTTAGAGTGGATGAACACTAAAAAAGAAGAGGATGGAATAAGATATAAAGAACTTAGAAAATCAAAAAGAAAAGAAAGGAAAAGATTGGGATAGAAATTGTAGAGAAATAGGAACATATATAGGAGGAAGAAAATGCACCGAAGCATGGAAATTTCTAAAAAATGTTAGAAATGAAAGTAATAGTAATAAAGGACAGTTTATCTCAATAGGAAGAATATTATAAAAATTAGACATTTATCTATAAAAAAAGGAGACAAACAAAAATGTGAGAACTATCGCGAAATTACAGTAACAACAACATTTAGTAGATTATATGGACGAATAATCAGAGATCTAATCGAAGAAAGATATCAAACAAAAGAAAAAGACATTAAAAGAGAAATATTAATAACACACTTAAAGAATTATATAGAGAATCCATAACGAAAATAGAAATTAGAAGAAAAATATCAGAAGTATTAGAGAGGTTGAGGCAGACGTTTTAAACGTGTAGGACGGACGTTCGGTGCTGCTTTCCCGTAAGCCTAGAAGTTTGACGATGGTGTTTGGAATGTCGAGCATGATTCCACCGACTATCCAAACACCATTGTCAAACTTTTAGGCTTACGGGAAAGCGGCGCCGAACGTCCTACTTACACGTTTACACGTTTAAAACGTCTGCCTCAACCTCTCTATTTATGGTTTCAAAAGGACTAAGACAGGGATGTTATATCTTATCAACTTTATTTAAAATCTACGTAGAAGGAGTATTGAAAATATCGAAAAAGAAATGTTGTAATATGGGAATAGATATTAACGGTAAGCCGATATTTGCATTGCAATTCGCAGATGATCAGATGGTAATGGTAGAAGATAAGGATGATCTGGAATACATGACAAGAAAAATAAAAGAGGAATATTTTAAAGGAGATTTATATATAAACACGAGTAAAACAAAATATTTATGCATAGGAGGGGTAAAACAGACACGGAACTGGAAGAAGAAGAAAAGATTGAGGGATGTGAGAATTACAATTATCTTGGAATATATATTCATCAAGATGGAAGAAATGCATTAGGAATTAATACAAGATGAGCACAAGGTAAGAGAGCACTTAAAAGATTGGAATATGGTGGAGTGNTGTATTTGATGATAATCTAACAATTATGATTATTCATAATACATGTGCCACTGCTTCAAGTCATTTTACCGTTAAAAAAAAAACTATTTAAACTAAGGGTAGTCCTAAAGTCAGTTAACCGTCGTAAACACTAAGACTTTTTTGATAATTTTAATTTAAATTGATTTCTATCACGCTTCCACCGATTTCGTGAAAGATAAACACGCTGCTATAAACCCAGTTCACCACAAACATTCACAAAAATACTGGAACATACAAACGGAACAGTTAATCGACTTTTGAGCCATCATGTATATTTTATATTATATTAAAGAGGGGTCTTCTTGTTTTTTCGAATTAAATTAAATTTTAATTCGATGCATTTAGAGATTAAAAAAGCGTCACAACCTGAAAATTTTGTAAATTTATCGGAAGTTAATTTCTTCACGATTTAAACTTGAGTTTATTATTAGAATTTTAATTAATGAAATAAAATTTTTCTCAAGAATTCGAAAATAAAGTTATTATCAGCGGTTTTTTTTATTATTATTATTTTAGCAAAATACGAAACGACATTGAAAAGTGCTAATTAACAATTCGTTGTTGTAACACCACGTTCAGTGGAAGTGTTTCGCTTAATTATAATTAGGAGGACATTTAAATTAAAAAAATTAAAATATTAAATATATATTAAGAATATATTTTATAAAATTACTTTTCTTGAAAATAGTGAGCAGTTTTTTTTAATGTTACTTTTTATCATTTTAATACTCCGCTTCTAACGACCTTGGGGCTTAACAATGGTGATGCCGTTTCTACAGAAATAAAAATAATAAAGAAAAAGTCTTAAAAATAATAATTAATGACAAATATTTTCATGCATTAACTTTAATTAAAGTCGATTTTAACGACTTTAAGACACTGCAGGGATTTATCTGCATTTCTTGCAAACGAATTGATGGATGGTTGGACGACCTCGCCTTATGTCAACGCCAGAATGTTTGGTTTTAACATAATGGTACACCACCGCATGCTGCTAGAGAAGTTTGGCTTAATGACCACTGGATTCGTCTACATGGACTACTTCGATGGCACCCAAGACCCCCCATTGTTGTTGGAATATTTAAAAGATCGTGTGTATAAATCCCCATTAGATGCTGCAGACCTCGAAAGAATTGTGGAGGTCTGTCAAACACTACTCGAGATGTGTTTTTCCACGTCGTGACTCAACAACTGAACGAATACATAGGTGTGTTGCCGTTAATGAAGGCACTTTTAAGTGATTTTTTAAGGTGCTGCTAAATAGAAGTGACTGTATTTTCATGTAGAAAGTGACATTTGTGACCCGGAAAAGTTATTTTATCTTCACTGAGTGCAATAAAATGCTAAGCTCCAAATTACAGTCTGCTCTATGTCCTGTGAGATAATTAATGAAATCAATGCCAAGCAGTTCAGTACTATAAGAAGCCAAACTTACACAACCCTTCTTTATCTTTTTTTTAATTGAACAAAATGTAAACTGTACTAATCTCGACCTGCTCTACAGCTCTACAATTGGAAATGTAGTTCTATCTGCAATAGGAGCTAAGATAACTTTAGCTCCTCATTTTTACGAGCTAGGGATTTAGTGATGTACTAATTAATAGCCCATCTTCAATGATGTATGAAACAAAGCAATGTTTACATGAATCAGACAGTTCTTTCTGAGCTATTATCCTGCATTGCTTTTAAGGAGACCCTTTATACCTACATCTGACTCACTTGTCTAGTCAAACTGACTTTTGAACCGCACTGTACTTAACTTACATGTGTACTGTACACGTATATGTATGTAATTTCTCTCTGGAATTTTTCTTCTATATTTCAATCTTCCGTTTAATTATTATACAAACCGAAACGTTATTATCACTCTAGGAATTTAAATAATTAAAATTAAAAATAAAATTTAAACATTAAAAAATATATTTTTGTAAAATTAATTAATTTTATTTTAAATCGAATATTTTTAACAAAATAATTTTCTACCATTTATATCATTCCCTAAAAACCCAAACTTTCCATTCCTGTTTCATTTAAGCATTTAAAGTGAATAAAGTTGAGATAAATAGCCTAACATTAAAATTAATGTCGTTCTTTATCTAGACCATGGCTTCCAAACGGGCGTTGGCATTGACTCCTACCGTGTTTCCCCGAAAATAAGACTTCCGCAGAAAATAAGACCTAGCACAGATTTTGCTGAATTGCGAAATATAAGACCTACCCCTGAAAGTAAGACCTAGCGAAGTTTTTTTTAGTAGTAACGGTCATGGTTGAAAGTGGTCGTTGGCTTTTTCAAAGTACAGCCACTAATTGGTCAGCAGACAATTACGCCACGCGGCATGATTTGCATAAGACTATGGCTTGGGAATCACAGATTTGCATAACGTTACGGCTGGTGATGGCTAATTGGTCGGCCGGGAATCANTAGAGAGGTTGAGGCAGACGTTTTAAACGTGTAGGACGGACGTTCGGTGCTGCTTTCCCGTAAGCCTAGAAGTTTGACGATGGTGTTTGGAATGTCGAGCATGATTCCACCGACTATCTAAACACCATTGTCAAACTTTTAGGCTTACGGGAAAGCGGCGCCGAACGTCCTACTTACACGTTTACACGTTTAAAACGTCTGCCTCAACCTCTCTATTTATGGTTTCAAAAGGACTAAGACAGGGATGTTATATCTTATCAACTTTATTTAAAATCTACGTAGAAGGAGTATTGAAAATATCGAAAAAGAAATGTTGTAATATGGGAATAGATATTAACGGTAAGCCGATATTTGCATTGCAATTCGCAGATGATCAGATGGTAATGGTAGAAGATAAGGATGATCTGGAATACATGACAAGAAAAATAAAAGAGGAATATTTTAAAGGAGATTTATATATAAACACGAGTAAAACAAAATATTTATGCATAGGAGGGGTAAAACAGACACGGAACTGGAAGAAGAAAAAAAGATTGAGGGATGTGAGAATTACAATTATCTTGGAATATATATTCATCAAGATGGAAGAAATGCATTAGGAATTAATACAAGATGAGCACAAGGTAAGAGAGCACTTAAAAGATTGGAATATGGTGGAGTGATGGATAAAACTACCAGTGTTCAGTAGTTTTATAGGGATGGGGACTCGGCGGAAAAATACACGACTCCCAACTCTCGACTCCGACTCTCTATCCCTGGCTTTAGCCATTCGACAATTGATGTGCTACTCCTATTTGAGAAATTATGAGCTTCCTCCTCTTGATGTCATCACATTCATTTGGAATGCCCTCCTCACATCAACATACTGTATTCAAATTTTTTCGAAGGGCCTTCTAGGGCCTGTTTATACATTTTATATTGGCGTTACTTATAAAACTATATAGTAAATTAATTTAATTAAATTAAAAATAATGGTTATATAAATAATAATTTAGGGAGTTTTTTAAATTTTAATCTATTGTTCTAGCTAGATATATTTTTTTAAATGTTAATATCTATTGTTTGGATGAACAACTGTTATTTTCTTAAAATAATTAAAGGTATATACTGTCATTTTCCTCACATATTTATGAATTAATTAAAATTTTCCTTCAAGATTAATCAAAAATTAACAAATATAAGTAAAATTTCTACATCAAGAAGTCTTTTGCACTCAATAAGGAAGTACGTAACAACTTTTTAATTATTATTATTTTTTAAAGTTTTTTATAATAATATTAAGGAAATTCGTGTAAATCTAGGAAAAATCTTTATGAATTAAATATAATTTAATTCACTCATTAAATTTTAAAAAAAGTTAAATGATATAAAAGAAGATTTTTATGAAAAATATAGACTTTTAAACATTCAGTTTGCATCTATTAACACGCTATACTGATGAAGATCTGCAAAATTTTGTTATATTTAACAATTTTATTGAAATATTCAGAAGCAAAAACGAATTCTTCTGATGTTTCGAACGTTGTAAAACATTATAAAGGTGTAAAATCGATAGAAGAATTCGAAAACAACTTAAAAAATTTAACAAAACGAATTTTGAAGACCTTTATGCCACAGATCATCAATTACGGTTACAATTTGAATCTCAGTTTGCCTTGTTTAGGAGCTTTCATGACATGGGCTGGTGGTTTGCAGACACTCAAAGAATGGGCGTTTTTAAGTGAGTACAATTAAAATGTTTTAAAGAATTATTATTATAAATTTATTCTGTTCTTCTCGATTAGTGATCGATGCTAATGGTATTAACAGTGGATTTCTGGATGGCACCCTGTGGATGGTAGGTGCTTACGATCAATGTTTAGAGATCTCTGTGCCTAAGAACGAACGATTACCCATCTCAAATGAGAATTTAAAGTTTCGTGGTCAAATGTGTACCGTTAAAATTCGACCAGCAGAAGGAGTATTAAAAGCAATCGAAGCATTCCAGAAAGGAAATGAAAGTGGCATTTCGTTGAAAGATCGTAAAACGGTACGTCTAATTAATTTTATGGTAATTTTTTCCGATTTATTTTAATAATAATTTATTTCTTTATAGGTAACACGTTATTATAGTTTATTACGCCAGGGCTTGGAGAAAGGTTATCAAAGATTGGACATATGTTTACCAGATAAGTGCACTTTGAGTGACATGAATAAAATGACAGAAGCAGGCAAGTATCCATTTTGGTATTATTGCTTTTTTGTTTAGTATATATATACATTATTTTTCCTTAAATTTGTGCTAAATAATGTAAGAAACATAATTAAAATTACTATATTTTTGTAGCTGCAAAGATAATTGGAAACGAAATTTCTACATCTCGCTGCGAAACGTCTCAAACTCCAAACACAATCGACACTCTTCAAATAATAATTCTGTATATTTTTAATTATTATTTCTGTGAAATTTTTAGAGAAAAACATTAATTGCGTTTAATATTTTTCAGTTGTTTATTTGGCATTAACATCTTTTTTGTTTTATTTGGTACACTTTACGATGTGTTAACTCGAGCGTTGAAGATCGGTTTATTTGATAATTGCTGTAAGTATTCGAAATTTTACTCTATTTCTATTTAACATTGTTGTAAATAAGAATAGATCCAAAAATTATCCATGGGATATTTTTAAATTTGTAATCTCATTCTGCTTCTAAATTTCCGGAAAGGCCCACCTGAGGTGGCTGAGTGGATAAAACCACTTAATGGGCTGGTCATACGGAGCTTTCCGGATTTTCTTCACGTGTCTAAAATCTAAATAGGGATCATTAAAAGTTCTCCTGGGAAGTACCGGTACCTTTCCTTGGCATACATATGCTCACATGTTGAGATGCCATATCTCAACATGTGAGCATGATCTAAGTCTAATCCAATCCAACTTGTAGAAGGATCCATATGATGGACGGAAGCGTAATTCACAATTTCGTATTAAAATGTTTACATTTGGCTATTTTTTCAGATATTTTTGGTGTCCTTCGTGATTTTTCTTTGTATTTTAATGCCGAAAAGTTTTCAAAATTGGAAAGGCACCCTAAAGAAGTGAAGTGTATCAATGGAATGATTGTCATTACATCGATATGGATCGTTTTCTTGCATACTTATACATTTCCAGGAATGGTCGAATGCATTTCTTTCAGTAAGATTCTTGCTCAAATAATTATGTACGTTTATTAATTAATATATAATATAAAATTTATAATAAATATACGTATTTAGGAAGCTTGAAAAANTTCGTAAAATTTTATAAATAATTTTATTTTGTTGAAAATATCTCTATGGACTAATCATTAGAATGCTAACAGAAAAAAATGTATATTTTGATCGAATTACTTACTATATAAATTCACATTAATCAATATAAACAAAAAAGGACGTTCATGATAATATTTTTGTACTAAAATGGTTTGTTTTCTGTAGCTTGTGGAGTAAATGTATAATTTATCTTGTAGATTTAACGTTAAAATCATTCATACAGCCTATGTACTGGTATATAGTATATTACTTATAGGTTATATTACTTAATATAGTATAAGAAATGCCTAATTGTTTTTTAACTTTTAAATTAAAGAGAAAGGAGAAAGGAAAGAAATAAAATAGTAAAAAAAAGATTTAATTCTTTCATTTCTCGTAAAAAATTAAAGAAATTAAGCATCTCTACTGTGTCATATAACTTACTAAACAATGTAATGTAGATACGGTATATGCAAGTATAGTATTTACATTACATTGTTTAGACTGGCATGTCAGTTAAACTGCGACTAAAATGTAAAATTAATCAAATCTAACACAATTAATTGTTAATTAAACGTTAAAGAAAACATTCTTCCCAGCACAATAAAATTTTACTATTATATATTTATGCATTGTAATATTACTGACTTAAAATCAGGAAGAGTTTTTTCATTTACAAGACAATAAAAAAATTAACCTTATTTAAACCAACATGTCGGTTTTTACCATACGTATTTAATTAAATTAAAGGAAGAGTTAGGCTGACTTATCCCGAAAACTTCTCAGTATCCTATCGCTCAGAACAACAGTTGACACCTGTTCTATATTTTCGGGTTTTCTCCACGTTTGAAACACCTAAATAAGGGATCATTTCACACATTTCCGGATGTTTTCCACGTTAGTAACAGGTAAATAGGGGCCTATTTTCTATATTTTCGAGTTTTCTTTGCGTTTGTAGCACCTAAACAGGGGCCAGTTTCTCATAGAAAGTCCTCCTTGGAGGCATCCCCTCTTTGGATAGCCACGTGTCACTTTGCCATATATAAATAAACAACAAAATCTAATAAAATAACGTTTTAGGATTAAAATAATTCATGAAAATATTTTAATAAATAAACGATATTCTCTTTTTCTAGTGCCTGTTTCATACTTGGTTTATCGCAACTCTTCTTCAAATATCTGTACTTACGTTTATTCTATTAATTATTCTTTATAGGTAAGATGATTGTTTCAAAAATATTTCTTAATATTTTAAATATTAAATTAATTATATATATATATATGAAAATATTAGATGCCCGAAATTAGGAATAACCTTAACTGTTACGGTAATTATAAGTGGTTGCGTTGTCGTGGCAGCAGTAACATCAATTTACCGTCTTCCTTCGCATTTTTCTCTATTAGGACAAGATATTCCGTGAGTATAAAGTTTCATAAATAACATTTTTGTTTAGTTTTTAGCAAAAATATTGCTAAAAATATTGTAAATTAATATTATAATTAGTCTTTAATACAGATTTATTTAAATCAGTATCAATAACAAAGGTCTTAATATAGATTTAGTCCAATATACATATATACTTAATATAGATATTAGGCCAATATAGATATATCGGTTTATCTATATAACCTTTATTATACAGAATGGGTGTAAAGTAACTAAGCATTGAGAGATTTGTAATAAATTTCCTTACTTCTAAGGCAAATGTGATGAACATTATTTGATGCGTACTTTATTAAACGGAAATATGGATGTATACCTATAACTTCAATGTACCAGAATCAGCCACCAACAACAAGTTTTCTTCGGATCGTGCTGTGGACAGACGGCCATTTCTCTGTGTGTACGCAACTGAACCTGTGATCATTTTAGCTTCGAATGACAATTCTTGATTGTTTTCGGATAGATTGTGACATTGTATCCCTTCGCCACCATCTCTGCACCACAACCACTGATTTCCATTACCTCATAGCGTGCAGTAATCTGCGCTTTCTTTAGAACAGACAAGCGGTCGGCCATTTTTTTCCACTAAGCGTATGGCATCTCTCGGTATGCTCCTATCAATGATGAATAAGTTATAAAATCCCATTGATAGCTGTACATTTATATATAAACTTTATTATTATAGCATTATTATTACAAAAATTATAGAAGTTTCTCAATGACTGGTTACTTTCCACCCATCCTGTATATTATTTCATAGATAGTGTAAACAATTTATTATTTGATATTATATAAATTTATAATTTATATTATTGTAAATATAATTTACTATTATATAAAGATTTATTATATATATATATATATACACACACAATATACTCAATCATTCTACTAATATTTTGTTTTTTCAGTACGTGGGAACTTTATTTTAACCTTATTTATTCACGTCCCTACACGTATATCAGCTCTTATTGTATAGGGATGTTACTCGGATACGCTGTAGTTAATCATAGCGGCAAGGACATTAGACCGGTAAGCAAGTAAAATAGAAATTTCTCCTTAAAATATTGACAGAAACAATACTTTGTTCTTTCAACAGGTTACAAAATTAATCATTTGGGTAATTTCGACTGCTAGCGCATTGTTCGTTCTTTACGGTGTTTATTTATTGAAACTGGATAGAAGCACATCGTTGAATGTAATGTATGCAGCATTACATAGACCCATTTGGTCCACTGCGGTATTTTGGATATTGTATTCTTGCGTAATCGGATGCGGTGGTAAGTACAGTACTGTCAGTAGTATCTGTCTTGCGATGTCCTTGTAAATGTTTGACATAAATGAGTTATTTTTTCGGATTCTCAGGAATCATTTCTAAATTTCTATCGTGGAAAGGATTCATACCCTTGGATAGAATGGTGTTTTTAATATATTTGATTCATCCGTTGGTTTTGTATTATTCTACAGCTCGAAGTAGAGCCGTAATATATATGGGTCACGTAGAACAAGTAAGTATTTAGTAATATTTGTGTAATTAATTCGCCAGAAACAACTTTTATACTTTTCATTACCATTTACTTACCTTATTTTCCATTAAAACTCTAAAGAAGATCGCTAAGAATGGTTCGAATTTATTCTATGATTTGAACCCGGGTTCCTCTAGAGCAAAGCACTCAATTCTGGAGGGTTCCTCTAGTGCAGTGCTCATGATGTTAGTGATGATGCAAATCTTCAGTTTTTATTTTGCCAAATTATTGTTAAACAAAAGCAGATATAAGTTAGTCTGATGTATATTTGACAACTTTAATCTGAAATTACGATCACTAAAGTTACTCTTTACACTAATTCTTTATTTATCGATGGTCTTTGTAATGTATTAGGTTAGATGTTATCAATATATAAACGCATTTCTAAGAATACTACGCTTAAAATTCAAAATTCACCTTTAATTTACCTTGAAACACTCTTATTATGTAACCCCATACGTTACGAACCATCGACATCATTCCATTATCACCAGGTCAAAGGTTAACATTCTTAATTAATGTACAATTTCTACTGCATTAGTCGGATCAGTAGTAAGGAAAAAGTGCTTCCAACACTAGAATTTGGGTTCGATTTTCATTAATATGGACTCCAGCCATAGTAACATTAGCATAATAAAAATACCAAATCCCCCCTGTATAATAATAAATTTCAAAATTAATAATTAATTTATGCTGAATTATTATTTAAATAATTCTTTTTATTTAAATTTCAGGTTTATATATATCTGGCAACTTTGGTAATTACCTTGTGTTTGTCCTACTTGTTTAATGTCACTTTCGAGCAACCATTTAAAAAAATCGAAATGATTATTAAGAAAAATTTAACTCGGACTCGAAACAATCTTCCAGACGCCATTCCTTCATCTCATCCTCCTCTTTCGTCTCCTTCATTTCACTTAAAAAATCCTGAAATAATAATAACTCCCGCTACACCCGTTCCTGTAGACAATCATTCTTCTCAATTGTGAGATGAAATTTCAATTGTTTCGTTGTAAATTATAATTAAAAATGAAAGTTTTCGGTCTCTGTATTTAGAAAATTATATAAAATAAATAGTAAGAATGAAAAATAAATTTTATTACGTAATTTTCTGTAAAATTTCACTACTATTCACTATATAAAATTTTACTGAAATAATGAAATTTTGTATAGCGAAATAGTGAAATAAAGCAAAGAACGAATCTTTGATTTATTTAGAATATAATTTCATGAGATAATATTATGAAATTTTGTATAAACTGAAATTGGGTGAATATGGAGTCATATATACAAATATTTCTTTTATAAATGAAGTATACTTCGGTTAACTGACTTTTGGGTCACCTTATAACGCTGGAATTACTATAAAAGGCAATATAAGTAGCCTACTTTCTGAATTATTCCATAAAAAAAAATATTGATTGCAATTAGTATAAAATGTGGCCAAAAAGTCGGTTAACCGTTGAAATTGTATTAAAGTATATTTAGGTTAACTTACTTTTGGGTCACACGTTTCTTATATATACATACATTTATTATATGAGGGATGGGACTCGATTTATCAGAGACAAAACTGCCCATTAAAAGTACTGTTTTCGATGCGGAACGAACCCGAATTGACAGGGTGGAATTCTAAAACGAAGAGACAAGAGAAATAATGTTACTGGGTGATTTCAATGCAAGAACGGAATCATTGAGAAATAATAAAATTATTAGACAATTCGGAGAAAATGTAACAAATGACAATGGAAGAAGACTAATAGACTTTTGTAATACAAATTACTTTAATGCCAATAATGGGTTTTTAAACATAAAGATATTCATAAATATACTTGGACCCAAGGTACTAGGCAGTGGAAATCAATTATTGACTATGCTATTACGAAGCAAAGAACTCAAATTAAAATTTTAGATGTAAGAGCACAGAGAGGTGTTACCTGCGACTCAGACCATTATCTAGTAAGAGCAAAAATCATTATTCCTTACAGAAGATTAATACAGACACAGAAAGAAAAAAAAAACCGGTAATGGAAGTAATTAAAGATCTTAAATTTAATCTGGAAAGCTTAGCAGAAGAAAGTACGAGAAAATTGTTATAGACAAGATTAGATGAAAAATCGAAAGAAAAAGAGTATGATAACACTATAGAATTATACGAAAACAGCACGGCATGAAGCAACAAATAAAGCTCTAGGTCAAATCAAAGAACATAGAAAAACTTTTAAAAACTTCTGGTGGGACAAAGAGGTAGAAAACATGATACAACAAAAAGAAGTAACTTACTTAGAGTGGATGAACACTAAAAAGGAAGAGGATGGAATAAGATATAAAGAACTTAGAAAATCAAAAAGAAAAGAAAGGAAAAGATTGGGATAGAAATTGTAGAGAAATAGGAACATATATAGGAGGAAGAAAATGCACCGAAGCATGGAAATTTCTAAAAAATGTTAGAAATGAAAGTAATAGTAATAAAGGACAGTTTATCTCAATAGGAAGAATATTATAAAAATTAGACATTTATCTATAAAAAAAGGAGACAAACAAAAATGTGAGAACTATCGCGAAATTACAGTAACAACAACATTTAGTAGATTATATGGACGAATAATCAGAGATCTAATCGAAGAAAGATATCAAACAAAAGAAAAAGACATTAAAAGAGAAATATTAATAACACACTTAAAGAATTATATAGAGAATCCATAACGAAAATAGAAATTAGAAGAAAAATATCAGAAGTATTAGAGAGGTTGAGGCAGACGTTTTAAACGTGTAGGACGGACGTTCGGTGCTGCTTTCCCGTAAGCCTAGAAGTTTGACGATGGTGTTTGGAATGTCGAGCATGATTCCACCGACTATCCAAACACCATTGTCAAACTTTTAGGCTTACGGGAAAGCGGCGCCGAACGTCCTACTTACACGTTTACACGTTTAAAACGTCTGCCTCAACCTCTCTATTTATGGTTTCAAAAGGACTAAGACAGGGATGTTATATCTTATCAACTTTATTTAAAATCTACGTAGAAGGAGTATTGAAAATATCGAAAAAGAAATGTTGTAATATGGGAATAGATATTAACGGTAAGCCGATATTTGCATTGCAATTCGCAGATGATCAGATGGTAATGGTAGAAGATAAGGATGATCTGGAATACATGACAAGAAAAATAAAAGAGGAATATTTTAAAGGAGATTTATATATAAACACGAGTAAAACAAAATATTTATGCATAGGAGGGGTAAAACAGACACGGAACTGGAAGAAGAAAAAAAGATTGAGGGATGTGAGAATTACAATTATCTTGGAATATATATTCATCAAGATGGAAGAAATGCATTAGGAATTAATACAAGATGAGCACAAGGTAAGAGAGCACTTAAAAGATTGGAATATGGTGGAGTGATGGATAAAACTACCAGTGTTCAGTAGTTTTATAGGGATGGGGACTCGGCGGAAAAATACACGACTCCCAACTCTCGACTCCGACTCTCTATCCCTGGCTTTAGCCATTCGACAATTGATGTGCTACTCCTATTTGAGAAATTATGAGCTTCCTCCTCTTGATGTCATCACATTCATTTGGAATGCCCTCCTCACATCAACATACTGTATTCAAATTTTTTCGAAGGGCCTTCTAGGGCCTGTTTATACATTTTATATTGGCGTTACTTATAAAACTATATAGTAAATTAATTTAATTAAATTAAAAATAATGGTTATATAAATAATAATTTAGGGAGTTTTTTAAATTTTAATCTATTGTTCTAGCTAGATATATTTTTTTAAATGTTAATATCTATTGTTTGGATGAACAACTGTTATTTTCTTAAAATAATTAAAGGTATATACTGTCATTTTCCTCACATATTTATGAATTAATTAAAATTTTCCTTCAAGATTAATCAAAAATTAACAAATATAAGTAAAATTTCTACATCAAGAAGTCTTTTGCACTCAATAAGGAAGTACGTAACAACTTTTTAATTATTATTATTTTTTAAAGTTTTTTATAATAATATTAAGGAAATTCGTGTAAATCTAGGAAAAATCTTTATGAATTAAATATAATTTAATTCACTCATTAAATTTTAAAAAAAGTTAAATGATATAAAAGAAGATTTTTATGAAAAATATAGACTTTTAAACATTCAGTTTGCATCTATTAACACGCTATACTGATGAAGATCTGCAAAATTTTGTTATATTTAACAATTTTATTGAAATATTCAGAAGCAAAAACGAATTCTTCTGATGTTTCGAACGTTGTAAAACATTATAAAGGTGTAAAATCGATAGAAGAATTCGAAAACAACTTAAAAAATTTAACAAAACGAATTTTGAAGACCTTTATGCCACAGATCATCAATTACGGTTACAATTTGAATCTCAGTTTGCCTTGTTTAGGAGCTTTCATGACATGGGCTGGTGGTTTGCAGACACTCAAAGAATGGGCGTTTTTAAGTGAGTACAATTAAAATGTTTTAAAGAATTATTATTATAAATTTATTCTGTTCTTCTCGATTAGTGATCGATGCTAATGGTATTAACAGTGGATTTCTGGATGGCACCCTGTGGATGGTAGGTGCTTACGATCAATGTTTAGAGATCTCTGTGCCTAAGAACGAACGATTACCCATCTCAAATGAGAATTTAAAGTTTCGTGGTCAAATGTGTACCGTTAAAATTCGACCAGCAGAAGGAGTATTAAAAGCAATCGAAGCATTCCAGAAAGGAAATGAAAGTGGCATTTCGTTGAAAGATCGTAAAACGGTACGTCTAATTAATTTTATGGTAATTTTTTCCGATTTATTTTAATAATAATTTATTTCTTTATAGGTAACACGTTATTATAGTTTATTACGCCAGGGCTTGGAGAAAGGTTATCAAAGATTGGACATATGTTTACCAGATAAGTGCACTTTGAGTGACATGAATAAAATGACAGAAGCAGGCAAGTATCCATTTTGGTATTATTGCTTTTTTGTTTAGTATATATATACATTATTTTTCCTTAAATTTGTGCTAAATAATGTAAGAAACATAATTAAAATTACTATATTTTTGTAGCTGCAAAGATAATTGGAAACGAAATTTCTACATCTCGCTGCGAAACGTCTCAAACTCCAAACACAATCGACACTCTTCAAATAATAATTCTGTATATTTTTAATTATTATTTCTGTGAAATTTTTAGAGAAAAACATTAATTGCGTTTAATATTTTTCAGTTGTTTATTTGGCATTAACATCTTTTTTGTTTTATTTGGTACACTTTACGATGTGTTAACTCGAGCGTTGAAGATCGGTTTATTTGATAATTGCTGTAAGTATTCGAAATTTTACTCTATTTCTATTTAACATTGTTGTAAATAAGAATAGATCCAAAAATTATCCATGGGATATTTTTAAATTTGTAATCTCATTCTGCTTCTAAATTTCCGGAAAGGCCCACCTGAGGTGGCTGAGTGGATAAAACCACTTAATGGGCTGGTCATACGGAGCTTTCCGGATTTTCTTCACGTGTCTAAAATCTAAATAGGGATCATTAAAAGTTCTCCTGGGAAGTACCGGTACCTTTCCTTGGCATACATATGCTCACATGTTGAGATGCCATATCTCAACATGTGAGCATGATCTAAGTCTAATCCAATCCAACTTGTAGAAGGATCCATATGATGGACGGAAGCGTAATTCACAATTTCGTATTAAAATGTTTACATTTGGCTATTTTTTCAGATATTTTTGGTGTCCTTCGTGATTTTTCTTTGTATTTTAATGCCGAAAAGTTTTCAAAATTGGAAAGGCACCCTAAAGAAGTGAAGTGTATCAATGGAATGATTGTCATTACATCGATATGGATCGTTTTCTTGCATACTTATACATTTCCAGGAATGGTCGAATGCATTTCTTTCAGTAAGATTCTTGCTCAAATAATTATGTACGTTTATTAATTAATATATAATATAAAATTTATAATAAATATACGTATTTAGGAAGCTTGAAAAATATATTTTTATTCCCTAAACAATTTTTATTTGTTCCTATTGGGAATGGGCCTATTTCTGTGGATTCGTTCTTCTTTATCAGGTTTGTAGTTTCTTAACTTCTCTTATTTTTATGTATATATATTATTTTATTTAATTATTATATTTTATTTAATATATTTTAGCGGTTTTCTTCTCACCTTCAGCATGTGGAAAAAAAGTTTAAAGAAAGAGAAAATCAATTATATCTTCTTCTTGCTTTCTAAATATTGGAGGTTTGTAATTTTCATATTTTCATAGTAATATTATTCGTTATTTGTAATTAAAATCGAAATATCTAGCTATATTAATCTAGACTTATGTGTAAGGCCTCTTCCACGCACAATGGCGGATCATCGCATAGAAGCAAGAAGCGCACTCTTGAGGCCTCCGAAAGTTAGCAGCTTTAAAAAGAGATAAATTCTGCAAATCTTAGACACAAATGCCATTTTCATCTAGATATTTAGAGATTTATTTTTAAGAAAAAATAAATTAATTAAATAACATTACTTAGTATTTAGAACAAGGAAGCCTGAAAACTAGATTGCGCTTGAGGCCCTCCAAGTGCTTGATCCATACTGTTTACGCATAAATACATGCTAGTGTTGTGCTCAGAATCCAGCACTAGCTACGGTTCTAGACTTTATAGAACGTCAAGTATTATATAATGTAAGTTCTATACTATATAAAAAGGCCCTCATAAATCCATACTTTTAAAGGCCTCATATACTTGTTAATACTTATGTCTTGATTCAGTATTCGGATTCCAACGAGGTAGCAAGGATCCTCGTTGGAACCTTACACAATATCACGTATCGTGGTATATATGCTTTGTATTACACAAAAAAAACTTCACAAATCCTTGCTTGTTTAGGTCTTCGCGCTTTTAGGAGCCTCATACACGCACATGTATATGCTTGTTGGGATTACGTCTCGATCCAATACTGGAATCCCGTATTTACAATGATTATAGACCTCATATAATATCAAATATCGTTTGATATGGGCTTTTCATTATTTAAAAAAGACACTGAAAGACAACGCTTGCTCAGGCTTTGCATAATCTAAATTGCCATTGTTAAACAATATTCCTTCACACAATTTTGTATAATTATTATTCACAATTATTAAAATAAATATATTTTAATACAGATTAACTATAGCGCAACTTTTAGCCATGGGTGTGACCATCATACTTCCACTTTTTGGATCTGGTCCATTATGGTACGATATGGTTCATCAACAAGCGACAAATTGCAAAGAAAAATGGTGGATTAATATGATTTACATACAAAATCTATGGCCTATAAGTCAAAAACTAAAAGAAATGGTAATGTATTAAAAACTTCCTTATTTTGATCGTGAAATTTTAAATAAATAAAACATTTATTATAGTGTTTGATACACACTTGGTTTCTGGCATGTTGGATGCAATTTTTTGTATTGAGCGTTTTCATATTATTGTTAATACGCTGGTAAGCAATTTATATTCTATAATATAGACTACTATGCTACAGAGTGGCCCAAAAGGTACCTACCAAGTTTAATGCCTTTTCATTAATGATCGACGAGGTGTACTGAATCTTTGAGACGTCTTTTGATGAAAAGATCTCAAGGACAGAGTTTACTAAATTAATCCAAAGACTTTGAAAGGGCTCAGTCATCGAGTTTGAGATTGTCACTATTCCGAAAGACGTCTTCAAGATGACGTTAATCTTTGGGATAAGTTGAGGAAAGTCCTTAGCTTGTCCTAAGTTTTAGTAATCGTTGCATCATGAAAAGCTTCGTGAAAAGGAATTAATTGAGGTTTTTATAATCTCTAGATGTGAATTCTTGAGACTTGTTCATGGATATACCGTAAGGATAGTATATCAAATCAACCAAACATCTTGGAGAAGCTCGAATAATCTATTAATAATGGTTATTGGTTTGATGGGGTAAACAATGCAACTCCTGCCAGGGGAGGTGCTTAATGACTTGTTTGTTTGTATATGGCAATCGACACGTGAACGATCTGTTGAGGAAAATGCCTCCGGGAGGACTTCATAAGGGAAACTGGCACATATATAGGTGTTACTAACATGAAGAAAACCCTGAAAACTCCACGTGGCCAGCCCATTGGTGAAGCGCAAACCCAAAACTAATTACTAGTGATAAGCGGTTTTACCTGTTCAGCCGCTGGTGGGTCCTACTGAGTGTGAAATCTTTGATGTTCCGAAAGACGTTCTTCAAAGCGTGAGCCAATCTTTGGGATAAGATTGAAGAAGATCGAGATTGAAGTTGAGGAAAACATCTTGAATACATAAATGGCTACTAGTATGACTTTTATACCTCATTACAGTACTTACTTTTAATCAATCATTAAACTTGGCGAGTACCTTCTGGACAACCCTGTATATATATGACAAATCTGTAAAATTTTAATTTATTTTAATAGGAAAGAAATTTACGGTATTATCGCAACCATTATGTTAATAGTAATTGGTTGCGTGACAACAGCAATTGATATGAAACTTAATGATATAAGTATCATACCTAATATTTACGTTAATAATTATTAGTAAGTATAATTATTTTATAATAAATTAAGTATTATTCTTGTCTGTTCACGGATAATTTTTAAAATATTTCAGTGATGTAGAAAATGTGGTGACTGGGCTCTATTTTAAACCACATCTTCATTTGGGAAGTTATGGCATGGGCATAATATTAGGAATCTTCATGATACATTTTCCGGATTTAAAGTTAAGAAATGTAATATTTGATAATGTCATTACTCATAAGAATATTTACATTAATTTTAAATTATATTGAATTATATTTCTGTTTAGAGGACACTAATAATTGGTTGGTTCGTGGGCATAACCTGCAGTTTGGTATCGTTATACGGCTTGTTCGGATATGAAGGAGTTTATCCAATGAAATTGATACCCGGTATAGCATATACTGTGTTCTATGGTCTAGCTTGGGTCGCTGGAATCGGTTGGATTATACTTGTCTGCCATTCTGGATATGGAGGTAAGGAATGAGTACATGAAAGATGGAGATTATGACCAGATTGAATTGGCGACCGGATGATCGGTGGCAATCTTATCGCTCTGAAGGACCCGGGTTCGAATCCGGATGGATCGAAAAAACCCAGGTAGCTGTCCATCTATGGGTTTGACTCTATTGTGGGCCAGGTCCATCCATGATCTGTAATGGGCGTAATTGTGAATTGTCATAAAGTTCATAATATGCTGGATAATTAACCAAATTATCATTTATCATATTGCTTGATAATAGATTAACTGAGAAACTGTTTGACAATAAATACAGTATATAGATTTATAAATGTTTAAGCAATATATTTTTTAAAAATATTATTAAATGAATATAATTTTTCATATAGGAATAGTGGATAAAATTCTATCTTGGAAAATTTTTATTCCACTATATCGACTTTCCTTTCTGGCATACATCTTTCATCCTATTGTAATAATATATCATCAAGGAAGATTAAGAGAAAAATTATATCTCGGACACGTGGATATGGTAAGAAATTTCTAAAAAATAAGTTAATTAATTAGTAACACGCGTTTTTAATTTTAACGTTTTTTTTTAATACAGATGCTGCTAGCCATTAGTTACTCAGTTGTAAGTTATCTATTAGCATTCCTATTCCATATATGTGTAGAAATGCCTTTAAACCAATTGAATTCTAAACTAAGCAAAACGATGAAAATTTTCACTTTTAATAAAAAATTAGGGAAAATTTCGTCGACGAAAATCACCCAGAAGAATAAAAATGATGTAAAGATTGTCATTGAAGAAGTACGTCTTTGAATTTTCAAATGTGTATCGGTTTATTATTTGTTTCATTTTAAAATATATTGGAAAAAATGATAAAATTTCGATTCGTACATTAAATTTACTAAGTAAAAATAAATAAAAAGTGTTTTATGTAAGTATAAACGACAATAAATCACATGTTAACACGACATTAAAGCTCTGACATCTGATTGCTATGGTAATAAGCAATTAACGTCAATCGTTTCTTATCTATGAGGCACGGTTCTACAGGGTGAAAAGTTCACCCTGTAGAACCGTGCCTCATAGATAAGAAACGATTATTCACCCTGTAGAACCGTGCCTCATAGATAAGAAACGATTCACCCTGTAGAGCCATGCCTTTTCTAACCTCTGGTTATAGGCCTTTCGTTTGTTGTAAAGTAATACTAATGCTACTCGAAAAATTCCACAATTTTCTTTTATGTCGGGCCTCGCTTCCTCACCGCCCGGCCATCCCATTGTGAGCCAAGACGAACCCACTATAGGCTTGAAAAAAGGCCTTCTTAGTGTTCACGGTGCGGAGAATACCGAAAAAATATTAATTTACTATTGAGAATATTCACCGGCTGGGCCAGGACCGCAACGAGGGAGCCAAAATTATTAGAATCCAACAATTCACGAAATTTTTGAGGCTTCGAGACGAATCCGAAACGCACGTGAAATTGCCCCCCCCAAGTAGACCTTCCTATAACATGGTAGATACGTTCCGTTTTATATGAATTCCGTGTTTTACCAGTCACTTAAATACATGAGCCAATCGCAGCTCGGCACGTGTGCAGTTTAGGGACTACGGCTGTTTGAAAGGTTTTCTTCCATAAAATTAATCGATTCTAGACTAATTTGACTCAACATTTCCAAAACACGTATAATTTTTTTGGGAATAATCCATATAAACTATGCCATAAACAAAAAATTGTAGGATTACTTACCGGGGGTACACCGCTCTACGACGCCATTGCTTAAGCTTGTTTTCGTCGCAAAGCGGCGTATCGAACGGCGGATGCGTGTTTTCTGATAAATTATTTTTCTGCGAAAAGTTCGCTGAACTTTGGAGACATCATTAATATAAATATAATTTTTATGGCCGTTAAATAATAAATGGTTTTTGGTAGGTCCGCTTCTCGTTTAAACTCAACGGTTTGTGCAATATCCGCTATTGGTCTAGATTCGACCAATCTTGTCGCGACACGAGTCGGCGATGACATTTTACCGTATCATACGAGTCTCTTTTAGCGTGTTTATACGAATACGATCGCAATTTTTTCGCCTTGTTATACGAATCCGTATCATATGAACCCGTTTTATAGTGGGAGGTCTACTTTATACCTTCTAAAAACTACTCATTGCATTGCAGCGGATTGTTCTTTCGTAACGAGATTCCTACCGTGAAAATTTCAAATTCAGACCTTAATAGTTAATTTTGAGCAAATATATTTTCTTTAATCGTCTTTCTAAGGACTACGCTACTCCATCGATAAAAATTTACTTTCGAGTGTACTGTAGCTCTTCAATTTTCGACACACGAGCAATCTGTCAATAAGGAAATGACTCCCGAGATGTCTTTTATGAGAAACTGGTCCCTATTTAAGTGTTACAAACATATGTTAGGCGTTTAGGCATTATTTGTTTTACACCATATTTTTATTGTTCTTGTTTAAAAATGCATTATTCGATCAGCTAGGCGGTTGAGGGTTTAAGCTACCAGATAAATAAGAAAAAGTGAATGTTACGTGTAAGTATGTAAATGAGGGGAGTGTCTCACTTAGAAACTGTGACGTCACTTCAGACTATAAATAGCGTAGCTCAAGTGAAGACGGGAGAGGTGAGCTCCTGCAAAGAAAGCGTTGATGTGCTAGTAGCAGTAACAGATAATGAGTGGAATACATATTATAGGGGAACTGAAAATGTGGTATGGAAAAAACAAGGGAAAAATTTTATATTAAAGGATGAATGGTAAATAAAAATAAAAAATGTTATTTCTATGTACAAACTACTTATTCAATAGAATAATTAGGAAAATAAAAGTGGATTGTAAAATGTAAATGTGTTAATGAAAGCCTTAACACTATGTTAAAGTGGAAATTAAGGCTAAATAAATATGTTAAGAATTATAATTTATTTATTGTCATGTTTCTCAACAATCCTTAAAGGATATGAGGTTGAGAGAAAATGTATTTGTTGAAAAATAGGAATAGAAATACGTAAGTTAAAATAAACTTACTACAAATAAATGTAGAAGAGATAAACCAAACAAGCTACATAAATAGGTAAATGTAATATTAAAATAATAAAAAAATTATATGTAAAATTAGATGAAACCATTCTAACGAAATGTCGGAGATATATTTATTGTCATGTTTCTCAACAATCCTTAAAGGATATGAGGTTGAGAGAAAATGTATTTGTTGAAAAATAGGAATAGAAATACGTAAGTTAAAATAAACTTACTACAAATAAATGTAGAAGAGATAAATCAAACAAGCTACATAAATANCGAACGTCCGACTTACACGTTTACACGTTTAAAACGTCTGCCTCAACCTCTCTATTTATGGTTTCAAAAGGACTAAGACAGGGATGTTATATCTTATCAACTTTATTTAAAATCTACGTAGAAGGAGTATTGAAAATATCGAAAAAGAAATGTTGTAATATGGGAATAGATATTAACGGTAAGCCGATATTTGCATTGCAATTCGCAGATGATCAGATGGTAATGGTAGAAGATAAGGATGATCTGGAATACATGACAAGAAAAATAAAAGAGGAATATTTTAAAGGAGATTTATATATAAACACGAGTAAAACAAAATATTTATGCATAGGAGGGGTAAAACAGACACGGAACTGGAAGAAGAAAAAAAGATTGAGGGATGTGAGAATTACAATTATCTTGGAATATATATTCATCAAGATGGAAGAAATGCATTAGGAATTAATACAAGATGAGCACAAGGTAAGAGAGCACTTAAAAGATTGGAATATGGTGGAGTGATGGATAAAACTACCAGTGTTCAGTAGTTTTATAGGGATGGGGACTCGGCGGAAAAATACACGACTCCCAACTCTCGACTCCGACTCTCTATCCCTGGCTTTAGCCATTCGACAATTGATGTGCTACTCCTATTTGAGAAATTATGAGCTTCCTCCTCTTGATGTCATCACATTCATTTGGAATGCCCTCCTCACATCAACATACTGTATTCAAATTTTTTCGAAGGGCCTTCTAGGGCCTGTTTATACATTTTATATTGGCGTTACTTATAAAACTATATAGTAAATTAATTACTGCATTAGTCGGATCAGTAGTAAGGAAAAAGTGCTTCCAACACTAGAATTTGGGTTCGATTTTCATTAATATGGACTCCAGCCATAGTAACATTAGCATAATAAAAATACCAAATCCCCCCTGTATAATAATAAATTTCAAAATTAATATTTAATTTATGCTGAATTATTATTTAAATAATTCTTTTTATTTAAATTTCAGGTTTATATATATCTGGCAACTTTGGTAATTACCTTGTGTTTGTCCTACTTGTTTAATGTCACTTTCGAGCAACCATTTAAAAAAATCGAAATGATTATTAAGAAAAATTTAACTCGGACTCGAAACAATCTTCCAGACGCCATTCCTTCATCTCATCCTCCTCTTTCGTCTCCTTCATTTCACTTAAAAAATCCTGAAATAATAATAACTCCCGCTACACCCGTTCCTGTAGACAATCATTCTTCTCAATTGTGAGATGAAATTTCAATTGTTTCGTTGTAAATTATAATTAAAAATGAAAGTTTTCGGTCTCTGTATTTAGAAAATTATATAAAATAAATAGTAAGAATGAAAAATAAATTTTATTACGTAATTTTCTGTAAAATTTCACTACTATTCACTATATAAAATTTTACTGAAATAATGAAATTTTGTATAGCGAAATAGTGAAATAAAGCAAAGAACGAATCTTTGATTTATTTAGAATATAATTTCATGAGATAATATTATGAAATTTTGTATAAACTGAAATTGGGTGAATATGGAGTCATATATACAAATATTTCTTTTATAAATGAAGTATACTTCGGTTAACTGACTTTTGGGTCACCTTATAACGCTGGAATTACTATAAAAGGCAATATAAGTAGCCTACTTTCTGAATTATTCCATAAAAAAAAATATTGATTGCAATTAGTATAAAATGTGGCCAAAAAGTCGGTTAACCGTTGAAATTGTATTAAAGTATATTTAGGTTAACTTACTTTTGGGTCACACGTTTCTTATATATACATACATTTATTATATGAGGGATGGGACTCGATTTATCAGAGACAAAACTGCCCATTAAAAGTACTGTTTTCGATGCGGAACGAACCCGAATTGACAGGGTGGAATTCTAAAACGAAGAGACAAGAGAAATAATGTTACTGGGTGATTTCAATGCAAGAACGGAATCATTGAGAAATAATAAAATTATTAGACAATTCGGAGAAAATGTAACAAATGACAATGGAAGAAGACTAATAGACTTTTGTAATACAAATTACTTTAATGCCAATAATGGGTTTTTAAACATAAAGATATTCATAAATATACTTGGACCCAAGGTACTAGGCAGTGGAAATCAATTATTGACTATGCTATTACGAAGCAAAGAACTCAAATTAAAATTTTAGATGTAAGAGCACAGAGAGGTGTTACCTGCGACTCAGACCATTATCTAGTAAGAGCAAAAATCATTATTCCTTACAGAAGATTAATACAGACACAGAAAGAAAAAAAAANTATTCGTTATTTGTAATTAAAATCGAAATATCTAGCTATATTAATCTAGACTTATGTGTAAGGCCTCTTCCACGCACAATGGCGGATCATCGCATAGAAGCAAGAAGCGCACTCTTGAGGCCTCCGAAAGTTAGCAGCTTTAAAAAGAGATAAATTCTGCAAATCTTAGACACAAATGCCATTTTCATCTAGATATTTAGAGATTTATTTTTAAGAAAAAATAAATTAATTAAATAACATTACTTAGTATTTAGAACAAGGAAGCCTGAAAACTAGATTGCGCTTGAGGCCCTCCAAGTGCTTGATCCATACTGTTTACGCATAAATACATGCTAGTGTTGTGCTCAGAATCCAGCACTAGCTACGGTTCTAGACTTTATAGAACGTCAAGTATTATATAATGTAAGTTCTATACTATATAAAAAGGCCCTCATAAATCCATACTTTTAAAGGCCTCATATACTTGTTAATACTTATGTCTTGATTCAGTATTCGGATTCCAACGAGGTAGCAAGGATCCTCGTTGGAACCTTACACAATATCACGTATCGTGGTATATATGCTTTGTATTACACAAAAAAAACTTCACAAATCCTTGCTTGTTTAGGTCTTCGCGCTTTTAGGAGCCTCATACACGCACATGTATATGCTTGTTGGGATTACGTCTCGATCCAATACTGGAATCCCGTATTTACAATGATTATAGACCTCATATAATATCAAATATCGTTTGATATGGGCTTTTCATTATTTAAAAAAGACACTGAAAGACAACGCTTGCTCAGGCTTTGCATAATCTAAATTGCCATTGTTAAACAATATTCCTTCACACAATTTTGTATAATTATTATTCACAATTATTAAAATAAATATATTTTAATACAGATTAACTATAGCGCAACTTTTAGCCATGGGTGTGACCATCATACTTCCACTTTTTGGATCTGGTCCATTATGGTACGATATGGTTCATCAACAAGCGACAAATTGCAAAGAAAAATGGTGGATTAATATGATTTACATACAAAATCTATGGCCTATAAGTCAAAAACTAAAAGAAATGGTAATGTATTAAAAACTTCCTTATTTTGATCGTGAAATTTTAAATAAATAAAACATTTATTATAGTGTTTGATACACACTTGGTTTCTGGCATGTTGGATGCAATTTTTTGTATTGAGCGTTTTCATATTATTGTTAATACGCTGGTAAGCAATTTATATTCTATAATATAGACTACTATGCTACAGAGTGGCCCAAAAGGTACCTACCAAGTTTAATGCCTTTTCATTAATGATCGACGAGGTGTACTGAATCTTTGAGACGTCTTTTGATGAAAAGATCTCAAGGACAGAGTTTACTAAATTAATCCAAAGACTTTGAAAGGGCTCAGTCATCGAGTTTGAGATTGTCACTATTCCGAAAGACGTCTTCAAGATGACGTTAATCTTTGGGATAAGTTGAGGAAAGTCCTTAGCTTGTCCTAAGTTTTAGTAATCGTTGCATCATGAAAAGCTTCGTGAAAAGGAATTAATTGAGGTTTTTATAATCTCTAGATGTGAATTCTTGAGACTTGTTCATGGATATACCGTAAGGATAGTATATCAAATCAACCAAACATCTTGGAGAAGCTCGAATAATCTATTAATAATGGTTATTGGTTTGATGGGGTAAACAATGCAACTCCTGCCAGGGGAGGTGCTTAATGACTTGTTTGTTTGTATATGGCAATCGACACGTGAACGATCTGTTGAGGAAAATGCCTCCGGGAGGACTTCATAAGGGAAACTGGCACATATATAGGTGTTACTAACATGAAGAAAACCCTGAAAACTCCACGTGGCCAGCCCATTGGTGAAGCGCAAACCCAAAACTAATTACTAGTGATAAGCGGTTTTACCTGTTCAGCCGCTGGTGGGTCCTACTGAGTGTGAAATCTTTGATGTTCCGAAAGACGTTCTTCAAAGCGTGAGCCAATCTTTGGGATAAGATTGAAGAAGATCGAGATTGAAGTTGAGGAAAACATCTTGAATACATAAATGGCTACTAGTATGACTTTTATACCTCATTACAGTACTTACTTTTAATCAATCATTAAACTTGGCGAGTACCTTCTGGACAACCCTGTATATATATGACAAATCTGTAAAATTTTAATTTATTTTAATAGGAAAGAAATTTACGGTATTATCGCAACCATTATGTTAATAGTAATTGGCTGCGTGACAACAGCAATTGATATGAAACTTAATGATATAAGTATCATACCTAATATTTACGTTAATAATTATTAGTAAGTATAATTATTTTATAATAAATTAAGTATTATTCTTGTCTGTTCACGGATAATTTTTAAAATATTTCAGTGATGTAGAAAATGTGGTGACTGGGCTCTATTTTAAACCACATCTTCATTTGGGAAGTTATGGCATGGGCATAATATTAGGAATCTTCATGATACATTTTCCGGATTTAAAGTTAAGAAATGTAATATTTGATAATGTCATTACTCATAAGAATATTTACATTAATTTTAAATTATATTGAATTATATTTCTGTTTAGAGGACACTAATAATTGGTTGGTTCGTGGGCATAACCTGCAGTTTGGTATCGTTATACGGCTTGTTCGGATATGAAGGAGTTTATCCAATGAAATTGATACCCGGTATAGCATATACTGTGTTCTATGGTCTAGCTTGGGTCGCTGGAATCGGTTGGATTATACTTGTCTGCCATTCTGGATATGGAGGTAAGGAATGAGTACATGAAAGATGGAGATTATGACCAGATTGAATTGGCGACCGGATGATCGGTGGCAATCTTATCGCTCTGAAGGACCCGGGTTCGAATCCGGATGGATCGAAAAAACCCAGGTAGCTGTCCATCTATGGGTTTGACTCTATTGTGGGCCAGGTCCATCCATGATCTGTAATGGGCGTAATTGTGAATTGTCATAAAGTTCATAATATGCTGGATAATTAACCAAATTATCATTTATCATATTGCTTGATAATAGATTAACTGAGAAACTGTTTGACAATAAATACAGTATATAGATTTATAAATGTTTAAGCAATATATTTTTTAAAAATATTATTAAATGAATATAATTTTTCATATAGGAATAGTGGATAAAATTCTATCTTGGAAAATTTTTATTCCACTATATCGACTTTCCTTTCTGGCATACATCTTTCATCCTATTGTAATAATATATCATCAAGGAAGATTAAGAGAAAAATTATATCTCGGACACGTGGATATGGTAAGAAATTTCTAAAAAATAAGTTAATTAATTAGTAACACGCGTTTTTAATTTTAACGTTTTTTTTTAATACAGATGCTGCTAGCCATTAGTTACTCAGTTGTAAGTTATCTATTAGCATTCCTATTCCATATATGTGTAGAAATGCCTTTAAACCAATTGAATTCTAAACTAAGCAAAACGATGAAAATTTTCACTTTTAATAAAAAATTAGGGAAAATTTCGTCGACGAAAATCACCCAGAAGAATAAAAATGATGTAAAGATTGTCATTGAAGAAGTACGTCTTTGAATTTTCAAATGTGTATCGGTTTATTATTTGTTTCATTTTAAAATATATTGGAAAAAATGATAAAATTTCGATTCGTACATTAAATTTACTAAGTAAAAATAAATAAAAAGTGTTTTATGTAAGTATAAACGACAATAAATCACATGTTAACACGACATTAAAGCTCTGACATCTGATTGCTATGGTAATAAGCAATTAACGTCAATCGTTTCTTATCTATGAGGCACGGTTCTACAGGGTGAAAAGTTCACCCTGTAGAACCGTGCCTCATAGATAAGAAACGATTATTCACCCTGTAGAACCGTGCCTCATAGATAAGAAACGATTCACCCTGTAGAGCCATGCCTTTTCTAACCTCTGGTTATAGGCCTTTCGTTTGTTGTAAAGTAATACTAATGCTACTCGAAAAATTCCACAATTTTCTTTTATGTCGGGCCTCGCTTCCTCACCGCCCGGCCATCCCATTGTGAGCCAAGACGAACCCACTATAGGCTTGAAAAAAGGCCTTCTTAGTGTTCACGGTGCGGAGAATACCGAAAAAATATTAATTTACTATTGAGAATATTCACCGGCTGGGCCAGGACCGCAACGAGGGAGCCAAAATTATTAGAATCCAACAATTCACGAAATTTTTGAGGCTTCGAGACGAATCCGAAACGCACGTGAAATTGCCCCCCCCAAGTAGACCTTCCTATAACATGGTAGATACGTTCCGTTTTATATGAATTCCGTGTTTTACCAGTCACTTAAATACATGAGCCAATCGCAGCTCGGCACGTGTGCAGTTTAGGGACTACGGCTGTTTGAAAGGTTTTCTTCCATAAAATTAATCGATTCTAGACTAATTTGACTCAACATTTCCAAAACACGTATAATTTTTTTGGGAATAATCCATATAAACTATGCCATAAACAAAAAATTGTAGGATTACTTACCGGGGGTACACCGCTCTACGACGCCATTGCTTAAGCTTGTTTTCGTCGCAAAGCGGCGTATCGAACGGCGGGTGCGTGTTTTCTGATAAATTATTTTTCTGCGAAAAGTTCGCTGAACTTTGGAGACATCATTAATATAAATATAATTTTTATGGCCGTTAAATAATAAATGGTTTTTGGTAGGTCCGCTTCTCGTTTAAACTCAACGGTTTGTGCAATATCCGCTATTGGTCTAGATTCGACCAATCTTGTCGCGACACGAGTCGGCGATGACATTTTACCGTATCATACGAGTCTCTTTTAGCGTGTTTATACGAATACGATCGCAATTTTTTCGCCTTGTTATACGAATCCGTATCATATGAACCCGTTTTATAGTGGGAGGTCTACTTTATACCTTCTAAAAACTACTCATTGCATTGCAGCGGATTGTTCTTTCGTAACGAGATTCCTACCGTGAAAATTTCAAATTCAGACCTTAATAGTTAATTTTGAGCAAATATATTTTCTTTAATCGTCTTTCTAAGGACTACGCTACTCCATCGATAAAAATTTACTTTCGAGTGTACTGTAGCTCTTCAATTTTCGACACACGAGCAATCTGTCAATAAGGAAATGACTCCCGAGATGTCTTTTATGAGAAACTGGTCCCTATTTAAGTGTTACAAACATATGTTAGGCGTTTAGGCATTATTTGTTTTACACCATATTTTTATTGTTCTTGTTTAAAAATGCATTATTCGATCAGCTAGGCGGTTGAGGGTTTAAGCTACCAGATAAATAAGAAAAAGTGAATGTTACGTGTAAGTATGTAAATGAGGGGAGTGTCTCACTTAGAAACTGTGACGTCACTTCAGACTATAAATAGCGTAGCTCAAGTGAAGACGGGAGAGGTGAGCTCCTGCAAAGAAAGCGTTGATGTGCTAGTAGCAGTAACAGATAATGAGTGGAATACATATTATAGGGGAACTGAAAATGTGGTATGGAAAAAACAAGGGAAAAATTTTATATTAAAGGATGAATGGTAAATAAAAATAAAAAATGTTATTTCTATGTACAAACTACTTATTCAATAGAATAATTAGGAAAATAAAAGTGGATTGTAAAATGTAAATGTGTTAATGAAAGCCTTAACACTATGTTAAAGTGGAAATTAAGGCTAAATAAATATGTTAAGAATTATAATTTATTTATTGTCATGTTTCTCAACAATCCTTAAAGGATATGAGGTTGAGAGAAAATGTATTTGTTGAAAAATAGGAATAGAAATACGTAAGTTAAAATAAACTTACTACAAATAAATGTAGAAGAGATAAACCAAACAAGCTACATAAATAGGTAAATGTAATATTAAAATAATAAAAAAATTATATGTAAAATTAGATGAAACCATTCTAACGAAATGTCGGAGATATAGATGTATTTTCATTTCATTGATGAAATATATAAGTAAAATATACTTATAAATTTACAAATTGTAAAAAGAATTTAATAATATGATATGGTTTACATTCATATATATGAATGTAAGAAGAATAATGTAAAAAGTTATAATCTTACTAGTTGTATGAAAGTTTAAATGTAATGAATCTTAACTACAAGAAAAGTATGGAAAACTGGTTTTTTGTAATTTAATGGATGAAAATGTTATCGAGCATGTTGCTCCGTGTAAATAAAAGGAAAAGAAATAATAAACTTTAATTTAGCAGTGAACGAGGTGTCCAATAGGAAATAGTCCAAGGCGATTGCAGTGTTCGATTTGTGGATCGAGGAATAGGAAAAGTCTTGAGTTGAGAAAAAGGTTCCCAGTATAATTGAGGTGACGGTTAGGATTTGTAGTTATAAGAAATACTATACCTAAGTTAAGGATTGATTTTTGTCGGAATTCCAAGGGGAATAGTTCTAAGTTAGAATGAGATTGAGTTTTTGTCGGGTTGACTGTGGATTTGACTTTATTAAATAAATTTGTTGTTTGTTATAAATATTATAGTTATTCCTAGATCTTTATTAAATACTTTTATTGATTTTTGACTAACTTGTCTTTAATTTACTTCGGTGCACGCGAAAAGTCTAGGCCTGGCAAACTAACAAACGCGAACCCGCGTAAAGTACCCGTAAGGTACTGGCTCTTTCCGAAACGAAAATCATTGGAGAGCGATAAGTTAAAAATAGTACAGTACAGTACTTTACAATTAAAAAAAAAAAAAGAAAATTTCTAGATCTGGCAACAATGAAATAATCACCAAACGATTTAATGAAAATCGATCTGGCAACACTGCTTTGTCGGCTGCGCCAGTAAATAAGCAAGTCGCCGGTTGATATTATAGTACTTAGTGATGTGTGCTTCTCTGTAAAAATTGCCGTCTTGAGAATTAGAAGAGTATAAATGCATTTATTAACGTACAAAGCGTCATTCTGACTTTCATTCTGGTATATTTAATTATTTGAATGTCTAAAATTTAACTAATTCATTTGTTATAATGCATCTTAAAGTATTTATGAACTCAGATTGAAAATCTGTTGACAGTTTAATAAATGAATTCATATTATCCACATAAACAGATTTTAAAATATGTAACAAATAAATACAAAGACATTTTGATAATTATATTAAATAATTAACATTCACCAGAAGCTTCTTTGTGTTATACAAAGCTTGTAAGGAATAGAATATGCATATAAAAGTTGGATAATCAGCCCTTTGTGGCTTTCATGTGGCCTTATAAAGGATCAAATGATAAAAGTTTGCTTATGATGTCATAAATTTGAGTTGTGAGTGCGTTTACCCCACTTTTTCGGTATAAATTTTGTGCGTATGCTGAATATACAGACTTTGAGTAACACAGAGGCTTATATAATCTTGTTGAGATTGGGTGGTTTATATTATACATAAACAAAGATAGGAAACTTTAATTAGAAGGCTGCATCTAATCTTAAAGGATTATATAAGCCTCTATGTTATTTGAAGCCTGTATAAGTGTATATGTAGGCGTCTTTGAGTTAATGCCCAGCTTACTGACATTTTGTACTTAAGAACGGGCTACTAAAAAGCCTACTTTTATTATAACTTTATTATTGTGTTTTGGATGTTTTAATATATTTGCAAGTGTTTTTTGTGTGTAGAAAATTAAAATATGTACTGTATACTGACACATTTGATTGTTATGGTATAAACATTCTAATTCACCCATAGATTTGACTGGAAGATGTACTTAGGAACAGAATGTGTATTTTGTGGGGACTGCCTGTAGTCAAGTATTACAGATAGATTCATATCGGGCTACTATAAAGATTAGTCTTGCAGTAACCAGCAGTAATGTTTGATTGATAATAATTGGGTTATTTGTATATTTAGTTATATATAATTTTATAATCTGATATAAGATTTCCTGCATGCTAATTAAATTGTTTAAATTATACATAATCCTTTGAGAGATTTCAAGAATTCGGTACTTTAACAAATATTTTTTTCAGTTTTTCACAGCTTTATAATGCTAAAACTTATTTGAAAATGGTAACAGTAATAAAATTGAACTTATGAATTTGAATACATATAATCTGGATGTAGACATATTGACAAAAGCTTATCAAATTAAAAGGAACAATACAAATTAAGATGGATGATTTATAACAAGTAAATGCCTCTGAATAACTTACTACTGCTTGTTCTTTACATTTAAATTGAATTTGTAGCTAACAATGCCTATTCTAAATAGTGATATTGGAAGTCTTTCTTGACATATTGGTTATGCATATGCTAACTGTAATAAGTTTTAATAAAACTAAAATCTGTAAATTTTACCTTTAAATTTTTATGTAAACAAAATGGACATTTGAAATAAGTTATTTCATTCCAAAATAAGCTAGTTTAATTACTTGATGTAGCATGTCATTAACATAATTATTATCTGTCGTCAAATAGATTCTGTGGATCAGAAGACAAGGCAACTTGTAATTTTACAGCCTTCATGTCTGTATTATTAAAAAATATTGAAAATTCTTTGTAAATACCAAAATATTAACTTGAAACAAAGTT